CTACTACTATTACTTTTACTACTGCTACTACTACTACTACTACTACTACTGCTAATACAACTGCTAATACTGTTACAACCATGGTTACTAGTTCCTGCTACTACCGCTGCTACAAGTGCTAGTATTACCACTATTAGTACTACTACAACCACTACTACTACCTCCACTTACTACGATCAATACTACTACAACTACATATAAAATATACAGTAAAACATATTTTTACCTACCACAACTACTTCTGAGACTACTACTACTACTACTGTTGCTGCTTCTACTTCTAATACTCCACCACTACTACTACTACTACTACTACTACTACTAATAGTACTAATACTATTACTACTACTACTACTACTACTACTACTACTACTACCTCCACTTACTACGATCAATACTACTACAACTACATATAAAATATACAGTAAACATATTTTTACCTACCACAACTACTTCTGAGACTACTACTACTACTACTGTTGCTGCTTCTACTTCTAATACTCCACCACTACTACTACTACTACTACTACTACTACTAATAGTACTAATACTATTACTACTACTACTACTACTACAACCACTACTACTACCTCCACTTACTACGATCAATACTACTACAACTACATATAAAATATACAGTAAAACATATTTTTACCTACCACAACTACTTCTGAGACTACTACTACTACTACTGTTGCTGCTTCTACTTCTAATACTCCACCACTACTACTACTACTACTACTACTACTACTAATACTACTATTACTACTACTACTACTACTACTACTACTACTACTACATCTTCTTAAGTTATTGTTACATATAAAAATGAGCATTGCAATATTTTAGCTACCACAACAACAAGTACTACTACTACTACTACTACTACTGGTGTTACAACCATGGTTACTAGTTGCTGCTACTACTGCTACAACAAGTGCTAGTATTATTAGTACTACTACTGCAGCTACTACCTCCACTTACTACGATCAATACTACTACTGCTATTACTACTACTACTACTATACTACCACTACTTTGCTGCTGCTGCTACTGCTGATACTAATACTGATACTACTGCTTCTACTTCAAATACTCATATCCTATCCTACTACTACTACTACTACTACTACTACTACTACTACTACTACTACTACTACTACTACTACTACTACTATTTTTTTCTTAATTTACTCCTTGTTTAGCTCTGGCCCTGACAAAGCTTCACTTCCAGAGAGGACCCTGAAGCCACAGAAGGATTATTTCTCAGTCCAGCAACAAAATCAAATGTTCTACCATATTTTTTTGCAGTTCTATAGCTCACAGCGAGTATCTGGACTGCATGCAAGCAGTCTTTAAAATTGCATGAGTTTACATCAAAGTATGTCTCTTCGTTTGTTGTCCCAAAGGTCTTGTATCTCCAGGCTTGGACCACTCTGGGGTCTTCAGCAGGTCCGGGGTTTGATCTTAAGGGATTTGAACCAGGTTTTGGGCGGTTTCTGTTGGGGTTTATGTGAACTGGGGAAGGATTTTGATTGTTCTGTAATGGTTTTTGGATCGTTGAGACGTAGGGAGCAGGTGGGCATTTGGGGGCGTCGCTAACGGCGGGTTTTAATGAGGCGAAACTACACCGACTCTTCGAATCTTGGTCTGGTCAATAAATCAACGTGTGATTCAATACTAGACAATAGAGAGGATTTTGGACAAAGGGTGAGGGAAACAAAGCCACAAACCAAGTAATCATCACGTTCACTCAAGTGCACTCACAGATCAGGAGTCAAGCCCACAGCCTCTTTACTGAGAGGAAGGAGACAGGCTAACCACTCTGCCACAGTAATACATGCAGCTCATGGACTCCACTCAAAGATATAAGGAGTTTAACCCACAAGTGGGGATGCACCAGTCCCTCTTTTTCAGTTCTGATACCAATTTCGAACTTATGTTTATAGGAAATAATTTAAGAAAATATATGACTTACAATCATGGAGGAATTAGAATTTTTTGTTGCGTTATCAGAGTAATAATATTCTAAAACAGTAGAATTTTTGTTCTTAGTGCTCCTGACTGTTCGTAGGATTTGTTCTTAAAGAAGAACATTTTCAGTTAAAAGTTTTGTAAATAGTAGAGCTGTAAGTATCTGCTGATTAACAGATTAGCAATATTACTACTACTCCTACTACTACTACTACATATAACATACAAATACAATACATATAAAATACAAATACAATTTATGGTAAAACATATTTTTACCTACCACAACTACTTCTAAGACTGCTGCTACTACTACTACTACTACTGCTACTACTACTACTACTACTACTGCTACTACTAGTACTACTACTATTATTTTATATTCAGCTTGTTCTGGATTTAATGTTTAAGCAACATTATTATTAAACATTTATTTTAATAAGAAAAGGTTTAACATTACATATCTCGAAAGAAAAGAAAACCTGCATTTTTTAATAAATATTTAGTTTGGCCCACGACTTAGTCCCAGTTTTTAATTTTGGCCCTTTGTGAATTTGAGTTTGGCATCCGTGATTTATTTACTTAAAGGTGCAATATGTAACTTTTTGGTTTGTTTCGATGAATATGTCATTGTTCTACTTGGAATGTTCCACAGTATGACTTTAAACACTTTACTTTACAATTATTCAATTACAGGTGGTTTTATAATTCAAAAATACCTGGAAATACAGGCATTGTGACTGTGAGTGGGGTCGCCTCTCCACAGATGTGACCTGTAACTTGGTCTGGTGTGGTCTCCATGAAGATAGAAAGGTTTAATGCCATACTGTGAAACTTTCCAGACAAAGCAATAACATCTCCATGGAGAAAAGCATTTGACACAGTGCACCTTTAAAGCACAAATACAACAAGACAAAATGGATCCAAATGTTTTATGCAGCTGTTATTTATCTTTCAAACTCAAAAACTCAAACATTCAAAACTCAAGTCTAAACCATAACTTAACTAGATCTTAATCAGAACTCATCTAGGACTAAACCAGGACTGAACCAATACTCAGTCAGGAGACTTATCACATTAAGGGCATCTGGTTTTAAAAATATCATGTTATAAAAAGAGGCCCAGAAGGGTGTTTTTTTGTTTTTGTTTTTTTTTGTCATCTGTTGTTACATGTGACGGTAATTTCCGGGAATAGTAAAATAGATTTATTTATTTTGGTTTGTCAAGTCAGCGTGATCTTGTTCTTCCCCCTGAGCTAGACACTTCTTCTTCTTCTTCTTCTGTTTTATGATTAATGTGGCAATAAAAGTCTCTCTTTGGTTTCCCTTTAGTCCTGGTTCAGACCTGATTCAGTTCCGATTCAGTTCAGGGTCGGTCCTGGTCAGTCCTGGGTCGGTCCTGGTTCAGACCTGGGTTGGTCTTGGTTCACACCTGGTTTAGTCCTGATTCTGTCTTGGTTCAGTCCTGGTTCAGACCTGGTTTACTCCTGGTTCAATTCTGGTTCAGTCCTGGTTTAGACCCAGTTCAATTCTGGTTCTGTCCTCATTTAGATCTGGTTCAATTCTGGTTCAGTCCTGGTTCAGTCCTGGTTCAGTTCTGATTCAGACCTGGTTCAGTCCTGGTTCAGTTCTGGTTCAGTCCTGGTTCAGTTCTGGTTCAGTTCTGGTTCAGACCTGGTTCAGGCCTGGTTCAGACCTGGTTCAGTCCTTGTTCAGTCCTGGTTCAGTCACTGTTCAGTCCTGGTTCAGGCCTGGTCCAATTATGGTTCAGTTCTGGTTCAGCCCTCTTTCAGACCTGGTTCAGCCCTTGTTCAGACTTGGTTCAGTCCTGGTTCAGACTTGGTTCAGACCTGGTTCAGTCCCGGTTCAGACCTGGTTCAGTCCCGGTTCAGACCTGGTTCAGTCCCGGTTCAGACCTGGTTCAGTCCCGGTTCAGTCCCGGTTCAGTCCCGGTTCAGTCCCGGTTCAGTCCCGGTTCAGTCTCGGTTCAGACCCGGTTCAGTCCCGGTTCAGTTCTGGTTCAGTCCCGGTTCAGTCCTGGTTCAGTCCCGGTTCAGACCCGGTTCAGTCCCGGTTCAGTCCTGGTTCAGTCCCGGTTCAGTCCCGGTTCAGACCTGGTTCAGTCCCGGTTCAGTCCCGGTTCAGTCCCGGTTCAGTCCCGGTTCAGACCTGGTTCAGTCCTGGTTCAGTTCTGGTTCAGTCCCGGTTCAGACCTGGTTCATATTGGAGGCCACTTCACGAGGATCATCCAGGGAAATAATCATTTACTGTAGCTTCAGGATGTAACCGAGATGGAATGTGAAATATCACATTAGCACATCTGGTTTAGTCCCAGTTCTGACATATAATTAACCTTCCAAATAATTAACCTAAACTGACACCAAAATATGTTATTTTTGTTTTTTCTTTTGTTTGTTTTTATTTTATTTGAAAATGCATAAAAACGCAGCAGTTTCATCAGCCACTGAATGTGCAGCGTGAAGCAAGGGTGGAGAGCTCCCTCTGGTGGCCGAATTAAAACTTTGTATTGCATTAAGAAAATTTAAGTTTTTGTTATTTATTTTATTAGTACTAATTTATTTGAACCGGGACAATGCACATTGTGTTGTTTATTTAATATGTTTTAGCAGGAATTATAATTTTACCTTTGGGTTTTTAATTGAGTACATTTATTCTTTTGATAACCTTCTGTCTGGACTAGAGCAGGAGTCTCCAAACTTTTTCCTCCGGTGAACTACCTTCACAAAACAAAAATCCCAGGGAGTTACTAATTGTGTATACAGTATATAAGAGCCATGGGGTGTGTTAGATGAAAAATAAACCTTTATCTGTTTATTTGTGCACAAAGTTAGTCATTACAATTATACACTTACAATGGTACTAGGAATCTAATTAACCACATTTTTGTTATTCAGCACAATGTGTATATTTCCTAACCTTCCTCAAACTGACTCATAAATACATAAATAGTTTTTCAGTTTTCATCCACATCGTTGTATTTAACCCTTTCCTGTTTCGCCCTCGTAGGTGCTGGTCCATGAAGACTCCTCTGGTCACCGGTACAGCTCTGTCCCTGTCCATCCAAACAGCCCCATCAGCGCAGATCTACTGTTGGACCAGACTCAGGAGCACGTCTTTGTCCTCACACACAACAGGGTGAGTACAGGAGCAGACAGGAGCAGACAGGAGCAGACAGGAGCAGACAGGAGCAGACAGGAGCAGACAGGAGGAGACAGGAGCAGACAGGAGCAGACAGGAGCAGACAGGAGCAGACAGGTGCAGACAGGAGCAGACAGGAGCAGACAGGAGCAGACAGGAGCAGACAGGTGCAGGGGGAACATGCACAACTATTAATGGAACCACATCTTTCATATATATATATATATATATATGAATTATTTAGTGAGAAAAGCTCTGATTACTAGAAATGGTTGTAGTATTAGTAGAAGCATCCTTCATAGTAGCAATGGAAATGGTACTCGTAGTAGAAGAAGTAGTAAGAGTAATTGTAGAAATGTAGGATTGGATTGAAAAATACTTCTGTCTAACTGATAACTTATTGAAACCCTTTGTGACAATGGAGGGGTTACACTGACATGCACCTTATATACTACTACTACTACTACTACTACTACTACTACTACTACTACTACTACTACTACTACTACTACTACTACTACTACTACTACTACTACTACTACTACTACTACTACTACTACTACTACTACTACTACTACTACTACTACTACTACTACTACTACTACTACTACTACTACTACTACTACTACTACTACTACTACTACTACTACTACTACTACTACTACTACTACTACTACTACTACTACTACTACTACTACTACTACTACTACTACTACTACTACTACTACTACTACTACTACTACTACTACTACTACTACTACTACTACTACTACTACTACTACTACTACTACTACTACTACTACTACTACTACTACTACTACTACTACTACTACTACTACTACTACTACTACTACTACTACTACTACTACTACTACTACTACTACTACTACTACTACTACTACTACTACTACTACTACTACTACTACTACTACTACTACTACTACTACTACTACTACTACTACTACTACTACTACTACTACTACTACTACTACTACTACTACTACTACTACTACTACTACTACTACTACTACTACTACTACTACTACTACTACTACTACTACTACTACTTACTACTACTACTACTACTGCTATTACTACTACTACTACTACTTACTACTACTACTACTACTACTACTACTACTACTACTAACTAATAATAATAATAATAATAATAATAATAATAATAGTAGTTGTAGTTGTAGTAGCAGTAGTAGTAGTGGTGGTTGTAGTAGTAGTAGTAGCAGTAGTAGCAGCAGTAGCAGTAGCAGTAGCAGTAGTAGTAGTAGTAGCAGTAGCAGCAGTAGCAGTAGTAGTAGTAGTGGTGGCAATAGTTGTAGTAGTAGGAGTAGTAGGAGTCAGGCAACAGAATTTGGGCTCGGGACAACAGACAACAGACTCTGCCCTGGTAGTAGTAGCAGTAGTAGTAGTAGTAGTAGTAGTAGTAGTAGTGGTAGTACTTGTGTAGTATTTTTCTTATTGTATGTTTTTTTTTTTTTTTGCAGTTGTCCAAAGTGTCAGTGTCCTCCTGTGAGCAGCAGACTGACTGTAACTCCTGTTTGTCCATGAGCGACCCCTACTGTGGCTGGTGTGTACTGCAGGGAAGGTAAGAATTTGAATGGGCTTTAAGAAAATATTTTTTTATCTAAAGTAGCATATAGTCTTGATTAAAATGGAAAAAAAAAGAAAAACTACTTATGTTCATATTACACTATTTTCTGATCTATGTTATAATACCTTGAGTTTTATTTTGTTTCATTCACACAAACCCTAGAGTTTAAACTCCTTACACCTTCACAAGAACAATTTGGGCAATTTCAGCTTTCTATTTTGATTGACAGTTTAGCACATGTGTGAATGAAACAAAACACAACTCCAGGTATGTTTTTCATGAGGTAACAACATTTTAACTCGACCTTTAATGCGCATTTCTTCCGATCTGATCCTCCTAACCTCTGTCATATTTGCCCCTGCAGATGCACGCGGAAACATGAGTGTGAGCGCCACCTACAGCCCAACCACTGGCTCTGGAGCTTCAGCCCAACGGACCACTGTGTGCGAGTGGAGAGACTGCAGCCGGCCAATCAGAGCAGAGACACACAGACACAGGTAATGCAAAGGAAAGTGGAAGGTTTCTCTGACTGTTCTTGAGCGAGTGAGCTGTAGGGAGGTATTGCAAAAGTCAGATTTTAATGCGACAGAAATATTGCAAAGACTTTTATTTATAATTATTGTAATATTTTAATCATGTATTATTTTAGAATCTTAACAGAAATAGTTGTAGCAGTTAAATTAAACCTTTTACACATTAATTAAGTTACCTGGTGCTTTATGAAATGTTACAAATAGAGATATTTTTCTGTTTTGTTTAACATTTGGATTGGACAAAAAGTGATTAAATATTGGTGAGTTACGTCTCTCACAGTTCCAGAAAGTATTAGAATGGAAACAACAATATGAAATCAAAGAAATCAAAAATTGTGAGGCCAAAATTGGAAAATGAATCATGAAATTTTATGTCATGTCTCGCTCTCATGGACCTAATCTCATATCTCGTCTTGTGGAAATTGTCTCTCATCTCATCCCTACTAATCGGTGATTAAATTTTTTAATTAGTCGAGTAATCAAATAATTTTTATGAGTGATTTAAGCTAAAACAACAAAATGTCTGCTTCAAAATCTCAGTAAATCCAGCTGGTTTAGTTTAACTTGTAATATTTTATCCCAGGATGTCTCAAAATTTCCATCAGTTTTGTCAAATTATTATTTCTAGGTGTGTAATACTAATGAACTGTTTAATCAATACATATTTTTAATTTATTGTAATTATGAAAAAATAAAAAACCTGTCCTAGTATTTTTGCTAAGTCCTGGCACATGACTTCTTTTTATTTTTATTTGGTTTTGTGTACTGTCTCAGATCAAATAAATTAAATCCAAATACATTATCAACCAAATAAAAGTTGAAATATGATGACTGAAAGCTTATAAATAGAGAATATTTACAAATAAATAATAATGATATAATGTTTTTGGGTTTTTTTGGGCATGATTATCAAAATACGAGTTATTTTTTATGGTAGTAGTCACGATTAGTTGCTTAATCCAAGTGTTTTCGTGAATTCTTTGGCGTTCGTCACAATAGCGAGCCTGTCCTGTTGTGATTCCAGGTGACCCTATCCGTGCTCCAGCTCCCCTCGCTCTCCTACTCCGAGTCGCTCTCCTGTGAGTTTGGACAGCTGCCTGCAAGCCCCGCCCACATCACAGGAAATACTGTCAGCTGTCAATCACCTGAGCCCCGCCGCCTTCAGGCCACACCCCCAGGAACAGGTGAGCAAATGTTTTTTTTTTTAGAGACTGTTGTTTTTCATCCAGTGTTAAGTTATTTCTATGTCCCCATCAGAGTTCCTGTACGGGTCAATTTTTGGAGACCTGCACCCTCCCACACCCGCGCAGTACAGCATCCCACCCGCCCGTGATTTTATCAAACCCGTTAAGAATCCACCCATTACCCGCCCGTGCCCGTGATAAACCACACACAAATTAAAATCATTCTAACTGAAGCATCCATCAGAATATGAACTGAAAAGTTACGACATCAACAATTACGATCACGAAATGAAACGGTTACGCTTTCTTCAATAGGAATACGAATTCACAGACGCGACTCGACTGTCAAAAATACGTCATCACTTCACAGGCTTTATTTAGTTCAACAGAAGAAACACTGACTGAGATGCCGGGCTTTTGCGCCGCTCACGCCATAGACTGAACCAAGACTAAAGCAGGACTAACCCAGGGCTGATTCCAGGACAGAACCAGGAGGACTAAACCAGGACTAAACCAGGACTAAACCAGGACTAAACCAGGACTAAACCAGGACTGAACCAGGACTCACTGTCGGGACTGACTCGGAGGTGCGTCCGTGTAGACTGTCAGGTGATCGGAGGCGAAAGGACAAGAACTGATCGCGCTTTCTCGGGGTTCTCTCTCTTTCTTAAGTCCAAGATTAGTCCTGGTTTAGTCCTGGTTTAGTCCTGATTTAGTCCTGACCTGCCCGTGTGTAATCACTACCCACCCGCATCCACGCCCGTAAAATTCTAGAACATTAAAACCCGCCCGCTTCAGCAACTATCTGCCCGCAGGACTCTGGCCCCTGTGGTAGTTTACAGTTACAGATGTCAGTCACGTGAATGACTCCGCTCCTTTCCTCCCGCAGACCACATGATCTTGCCGGTGGCGGTGAAGTTTGGTAATGTGACCATCACCACAGGAAGCATGACCTTTTATGACTGTGGAGCCGTGAGCCGTCTCAACCAAACCTCACAGTAAGAACTGGATTTATAGAGCTGTCCTCGTCATAAAGTGAAAACAAAGTTACTGTGACTGTACTGAACTCTCAAAATCCATCTATTTTGAACCACTTTTAATGTATAACGTGCTTTTAAATCGCCTATATTTTGTGTCATTACCTTATTTTTTTATATATTTTATGTACTCTTTTTAATTGTTTTCTTCGGACAGTGTCTTCGTACAGACTTAGACTTAGACAGACTTTATTGATCCACAAAGAAAATTATGTGGACACAGTAGCTCACTCATCAGAATATAATATAGTAACAAAGAGTAAAAAAATATAAATAGTAACAATAAATTCTATATAAGTGTCAAAAATATAGCAAGAGGCAGGTGTCAATTACGGCATAATTATATAAATGTATATGTAAAAGTCACAATAAAATAGAAAAATAAGTTATGAAATATTAAATCTCAGAAAATAATTATAATTGTTATTATTATTATTAAATGTGAAAGGGAGTAAATGGATTAAGGCAGTGTGACTTTATCAATAGCGTTCAGTTCCAGTTAAATGAAGCTCACTGAGGCTAGCAGCTATGGAAGTAAATTTGTAGCCTAGTTCCATATTACGAATTGATTTAGAAGCAAAACTGCAAAATAAAAACACTAGGGTCATATAGAGCAGGTTAATACAAACATTTTAAAACTAAAATCGCAAGCCTGACAGCAGCAGTAACAGAGAGAGTTGACAGTTTTTCAATATAAAGTGAATTCCAGCTGGAGCCGAAGGAGCCGGAAGTGTGTCCGTGCTCACTTCCTGTATGGAACGTGGCCAGTTTATACAGTCTGTGGTATAAATAGCTTTGGATCTGGTCGAACAGTTTTACAGGAAATCTCACCAAAACATTCTGAGTCATTATTAGAGTTATCTGTTTTTAAGTTGGTAGGGAGACATTCACACACCTACGTTCTGCGCACTTGCCTTGAGTGTTGAACCAGATCAGAGCCAGTTGTCTTTTGAGGGTTGTTTTTCTCTTGGATTTACTGATGAATTCGCATGTTATCTTGTATTATAATAATTCATAATCATAATAAATAGTTTTTTTGCTAATGTGTAAAGAATATTGATCATGTTTTCATTGTTTTTCCAGATGTCTGTCGTGTGTGTCCAGTGTGTGGGGCTGTAACTGGTGTCCTCTGGATCAGCTCTGCTCTCACAGCTCCAACTGCCCTCACCACCACACAATACTCAACCACAAAGTAAGTGTCACAATATTCTAACAGTTTAAAGGGTCCATGTTACGCTGTTTTCTATTTTCTACTAAAACAAGTAGGGTGTTAGTTTCAGAGTAGTTTCAGTGTATTTAGGCAGATATAAGGCAATGTCCACCAGTGTCTCAACATCACTGAAGAAGCAGCTTGGATGAACTGCGAAACGTTTTCGGCGTAAATAAATGTTTGTCCAGTTGACAAATTGAAATTCTCCTTTGTCATATTTTCTATGTCATAATCTTGTTTTCTCATCTGGACACAAAAATCCTGTATATTTTATCTGAGTTCATCTCTCAAACAGAAAACATACAACTTCGCTAGAATAATTTGGATGATTTCAGATCTAGAATTGCGAGTCTCTTCTGAATTTGTGTGAATGAAACAAAACACAACTCTAGGTATGTTTTTGTTAAAGCCCATGATTCAATTTTGCGTAATATAGGACCTTTAATTATTATATTCACCTTTGTGTGTACAGTACCATGTCATTTATAATTTAATAAGATAAAGACAAGGTCAGGAAACGTGTCGTCTAAACAGTATTTCTTTTGTTCCAGGATTCAGAGGGCCCGTCCTCCTGTCCCCTCGTCTACGCTCTTCAGAGTCCTCCTCTCGTCCCGATGGGCCTCTCCACCACCGTCGTTCTACTGGGGAGAAACTTGGACATTTACACGGTCAGATACTACTACTACTACTACTACTACTACTGCTACTCCTACTACTAATATATTCCTTTTAGCTGTGTCTTATATCATGTCCTTTTTCACTATTTCTGTAAATCTCCTCTAAGCCTACTACTACTACTACTACTACTACTACTACTACTACTACTACTACTACTACTACTACTACTACTACTATTCCTACCACTATTATTACTACTACTACTACTACTACTATGTTCCTTTTAACTGTGTCTTATATCGTGTCCTTTTTCACTACATTCATAAATCTAATCTAAGCTTACTACTACTACTACTACTACTACTACTACTACTACTACTACTACTACTACTACTGCTCCTGGTACTGCTGTTACTGCTGCTGCTGCTACTACTACTACTACTACTACTACTACTACTACTACTACTACTACTACTGCTCCTGGTACTGCTGTTACTGCTGCTGCTGCTACTACTACTACTACTACTACTACTACTACTACTACTACTACTACTACTACTACTACTACTACCAATATATTCCTTTTAGCTGTGTCTTATATCCTGTCCTTTTTCACTACATCTATAAATCTACTCCAAGCCTCCTGCTACTACTACTGCTGCTACTACTACTACTACTACTACTACTACTACTACTACCACTACTACCAATTCTACTGCTACTACTCCTACCAGGCCCAGCAACAGTATAAAATGTTCCTTTTAGCGGCGTGTATGTCCTGTTTTTTTTTTCACTACATCAATAAATTTCCTCTAAACCTACTACTACTACTACTACTACTACTACTACTAGTACTACTACTACTACTACTACTACTGCTACCAGGCCCTGTACAAGACTTTTCCCATGTATTTGAGCAAAATATGTTTAACCCAGTACAGATATTTATTTATTCTTAAGGTCAGGATAAGTCTGCTGTCTACTATTTAATTATAACGTGTTTTATTCTCATATAATCTTTAAATTCACATTAGCATGCTAGTTGTTAGTTTTTTGTTTTACCATGGCAGCAAAAGTTTTGATTAGGATGCTTGCAACGTGTAAGATAAGTGAGGAATAATAACATTGGACCACTGCAAACTGCTCTATTTTTCATGTTTTTAAGACAGTAAAACTCAGGTACAGCGTCTTTAAGTTTATAGTCAATAAAAGCTGCTACACACTTGTTTTTTTATCAACCATAACGCACCAAGAGGGAGATTAAAATAGCAGCAGCAGCTCATAACATTTTGCAACCCTAAAAGAAAGCCCAAAGAATTTATGGTTTCAGCTCGTAATAATTATTTAGTTTCATGTCATCACCTCTTGTTCAGTTTAAGTGGCACCGTGACACATCAGACCTTATTATTACATTTATATCTGGTTATTTTTGTTAATATTATTCCTGTATTCCTCTGTAGGATAGAGCAGATTACATGTGTGTGGTGGAAGGTAAAGGAGTCCAGTTCAACCTGTCGGCTTCAGTCCAGAAAACAGATGACCACACCCACACCTTCACCTGCAGCGCCCACCAGGTAAACCACTGTCTTTTACCACGGGCGTAGGTTTTGTCTCAGCTTTGGCGGGGACATTATCAGTGAGAGGTGGTTTCATTTTTCAGTTCGCAAAATGTAGTTTGTGTCCATTGCCCTTCTAAAATGATTCTTTAGTGGATAACAGTGATGTAGAAGTTTGTATGAGATTTGCTTGTTGGTGATGAGATATTTGTGAGGTAAAGTCCAGACATTTTTCCATGGAATATAGTCAGTAGAGTCGGGCTGATAACAGTGCACGAGTAGGGCTCCATTTGTGAGGTGCACTTGTGGTGATTGTCGCTCTTTTTCTGCGGCGACTCATTATAAGGCAAGTTTAATTGAAGATGAAGCCAAGTAAGTTCCTTTGGTGCGTAGCGGCGTCTTCACTCACGCCTGTTCAAGACGCCATCTTCAGGTGCCGTCCTGTCCTGCCGCTTCCCCAGTTTAGGCTCCTGGCTCCACTAATGACATCACTCTGTTACAACCAATGAAACCACGGCAGGAGTAACCCTGTCGTCATATCGCTGAATACATCTCAGAACGTCTCAAACTAAATGTGAACTAAAACGTGTTAAATTAAAACTATTGAGTTTGGAAAAATATCAGAATAAATGTATAAATAAAATGGCAAGTATTGGTAGGGACTATTTTGTAACATGTCCAACTGTTCCTATGCAAATCTACGTCCTTGTCTTTTACTATCATTTTATCCCCATATTTTTAATTTAAGTTATGTATTATATGATTTGAGTAGGCCGTGGGCAAAGTGCTTTAAAACATGGATTAGAATCCAGCGTAATAAAGGTTCTATATTATGCAAAATTGACTCTTGTGCATTATGAGTCATGTTATGATACTGTTTCCTCACAAACAAACCTGGAGTTGCATTTTGTTTCATTCATATATGTTTAACACACAAGCTCTGCATATTTATAGGCTAAGTCCTTTTCTCAAATGGAAAACACTTTGTTCCACTTTGTTGTGATGCAATGTGGTAATACAGGAAGTGCTTCACTAGACATGTCAAACTCAGGCCCGTGATATAATTATATTTGGCCCGCGAGATCATATCAAATATGTATTAGAGCTGCCTGCCGGCTACAGATACATTATTTATTTAAAATTTTGTTATTATTTTATAGTTTGCTTGTTCTGAATTCAATGTTTATGCAAAACTATTATTAAACATTTATTTTAATAAGAAAAGGTTTAGCATTACATAGAACTTTTCAATAAATATTTAGTTTGGCCCACGACTTAGTCCCAGGTTTTAATTTTGGCCTGAATTTGAGTTTGAATAAAGCATGAACAGAGACTTAATTCATAATAAACAAACAAACAAGAATGAACAAGGCTTAGTAACTACGTAATTAAGGGGTTAGGGTATTAATTAAGTAGTTACTAAGCCTGAATCATTTTCATAAAGAGTAGTCCGTCTAAAATGTTTCCCAAATTGCAGTGTGATAATAAGATTCCTATTTAAAAGTTATGTTTTACTGACACACTTCTATCAATCTGTAGTTTCAGTTTGAAGTGTCTGAACTGCAGTATTCAGCCGCTGTTTATTTGAGACGAGGACAGAGACGCATCGATGCCTCCCCAGGACTCACACGTAAGAACGAAATTTCACAAACAAAACATTTAAAATACCGAAAGACCAAAACTTCAATCTCCTCTGTTCCCTCTCTCTCCAGTGCAGCTATATGACTGCTCGGCCGGCCAGTCGGATTGCTCCCAGTGCCGAGCCGTGCCCCCGGAGTACGGCTGCGTGTGGTGTCCAGGAAGCCCCGCCCCCAGCTGTGTCTTCAACCAATCATGTTCGAGCGCGGCGTCTGATACCTGCCCCCCGCCACACATTACGCAGGTATGTTTATAAGTGTTTGTAAGTCTAAAAGGGAGTGCAGGATTTCTGTTTCTTTCATTTCTCTGTGTCTTGTGTGGTTTTTGTAGATCGTGCCTGTCACCGGGCCACTAGAGGGCGGTGTGCTCATCACTATAACAGGGTCAAATCTCGGGATGAAGTTTGAAGACGTGGAGGGAGGAGTCTCTGTGGCGGGAGTGGACTGTGTGGCCAAAGCTGAAGGATACAACATCTCTACCAGGTACAGGAATAAACCAGGACTAAACCAGGACTAAACCAGAGCTAAATCTGGGCTGAACCAGAACCAAACTTGTATTAAATCACGACTGAACCAAGACTAAAACAGGATAAAACAAGGACTAAACGAGAACTTGCGATAACATTTATGACATGATCTTTTTTATTTTTTCATTTTTTTATTAATGCTGCACTTTTTGTACTTCCCTGTGGCAACCATGCAATTCAACTTAAACTAGGACTGAATCGATACTAAACCAGGGACAAACCAAGACTAAACCAGGTCTAAGCCAGGGACAAGCCAAGACTAAACCAAGGACAAAACCAGGGATAAACCAATACTAAACCAGAACTGAACCAAGACTAAACTAAGACTGAACCAGGACTAACCCAGGTCCAAAGCAAGACTAAACCAGGACTAAACCAGGGACAAACCAGGACTAAACCAAGACTTAACTAGGACTGAACCAGGACTAACCCAGGTCCAAACCAAGACTAAACCAGGACTAAACCAGGGACAAACCAGGACTAAACCAGGGATAAACCAAGACTAAACCAGGACTAAACTCAGACTAAACCAGGAAAAAACAGGTCAAACAATGGACAAACCAAGACTAAACCAAAAGTAAACCAGGACTAAATCAAGACTAGAGTAGGACTAAACTAAGACTAAACCAAGACTAAACCAGGACTAAACCAGGATTAAGTCAGGACTAAACTAGGACTGAACCAGGAGTAAACAGGACAAAACCAAGACTAAACTAGAACTAAACCTGGAATAAAACTGGAATAAACTTGGACCAAACCAGGGCTAAGTCAAGACTAAACTAGAACTAAACCTGGACTAAACTTGGACCAAACCAGGGCTAAGTCAAGACTAAACCTCACAAAAGCCTGTATGTTTATAGTAAATACATCTTCCTCTGCCTCAGGGTGGTCTGTGAGCTGCAGCCGAGTGGATTACCAACGAGAGGCCCGGTCCTGATCAGAGTGGGACCTACTGCGTCTGGGCGCTCTACCCAGGAATTCACTTATCAGGTATTTTATATTTTTACCAGTGGTGGAAAGTAACAAAGTACAAAAGTAAAAGTGCAGTACTTAAGTAAAAATTTTAGATATCAGTACTTTACTTAAGTTGATTTTACAGTGGATACTTTTGTACTTTTACTTCACTATATTTGAGGTCTGGACTGAAAAGTGAAATGTACTTTTTTTTCCCGCTGAAATGGCTGAGACTTTATTTTCTTAGCACATTTAATTTGAGTTTTTGTCCTAACTTTGAGCAACACAATACACAAAAACACAAAAATGGCTGAATTTAATTACTTAAAATCTGCTAAATTCTTTTTTAAAATCACTACATTTCATCCTTTAATTGTTCTAAAAATCTCTGCTAAATATGTTTATTTTTTACACTTAAATTACATTTACAACAGGTACTTCCAGTATTTTTACTTAAGTAGATTTTTTCATGTTATACTTTTACTTTACCTTAACTTTTTGCCATTGTATCTGTACTTTTACTCCACCACAGATTTTTACAGACTCCAAGTAAACGCGTATTTCAGCTTTGTGCGAGTACCTGGTTTAATGTTGTTCTGTGACCTTACAGGACCCGCAGTTGTTGGGGCTGGTCCCGGATAAAGGGCCCGTCTCTGGGGGAACTCGTCTCACCATCAGGGGGCGCCAGCTGCTCACGGGGCAAGCGTCTGACCTCCAGGCCTTTCTAGGGGGACAGCAGCCCTGCTTCATGTGAGTCACTCCACTGTTTGGTCGCTACAGTGGTCCTTTATGGTGTAAAATATTGTGGAGATAAAGTCAGATTGAGATGGTTTAGGCAGGAGGGAGGAAGAGGAGGGAGAGTAAATATATGTCGAGAAGAAGACTGAGGTTTAGAGGAAGATCAAGGAGAAGGTTTATACTAGTAGATGCAAGATTATATATTACAATAAAAATATTCTGTCTTTTTATAGAAATATCTTGTCTTTTTTATTTTTAGTTTGTATTTGTATTGCATTTCATATTGTCTTAACTCAAATATTAATTCTAGTCTTTTTTACAATGTGTTTCTTCTAAAACAAAGATCCAAACTTGCAATACTTCAGAATCCAGTGTATCATTCGTTCATTTGTTTTTCAAAATAAAACCAAAAATAAGAAAAAGAAAAAAAAAACAATTTTCTTCATTATTTGTCTCCAAAACTAAAATGAAAAAAACAGATAACAGCCGTTTCCCGTTTCCATGACTTAATTTGTGATGCTGGACTTTTGCGCCGCATATGGACTGAACCAGGACTGAACCAGGACTAAAACAGGACTGAACAGGTCTAAACCAGCTCTAAACCTGAATTGAACTAGGACTAAACCAGATCTTAGTCCTGGTCTCAGTCCTGGTCTCAGTCCCAGTCTGGTCCCAGTCTGGTCCCGGTTTCCTGATCACCTGACAGTTTACATGGGCGCATGTCTGGGCCAATATTGACACTCCTGGTTCAGTCCTGGTTTAGTATTGGTTCACGCCTGATTTAGGACTCAGACCTTACCAGGACCAGGACCGAGACAGAGACTAGGACTGAGGCTGGTTAAGACCTGTTTTAGTTCTGACTTAGTCCTGTTTTAGTCCTGGTTCATTCCGGCATTGCAGTTTAAGTCACGCAAATGTGAAACTGCCGTTATCCGTTTTTTCCATTATTCATTTAAACGCAAAATCGAAAAATGAAAAAACTAATCGTTATCTGTTTTCCATTTTGCTTTTGGAGACAAATAATGAAGAAAATCGTTGTTTTTTTATTTTCTTAATTTTGGTTTTATTTTGAAAAAACAATGAACAAATGATACACGGATTTTTCAGAAATACATCAGAATCAACACAATTGGATTTTGTTTTTCCCAAAATTATGCAACTTTATAATATACCTGGTGTGAGAGAAGAGGATGCAGAGGATATTATTTTTGAAAAAGAAAAAGTTATTCAGTTTGAGTCCTCTCTCAAAGCTATAAAAATGAGAAGTATGTATAAAACAATATGCAAATTCTAGCATTTTAATGGTGTTGCACAAACATTCGTCCAGGTCTTGTAGCATCGTATGTTTTTGAGTTTTTCTGTCTAACCTTTTTGTCTGTCTGTGCGCCCCATCTTTTGTCTCAGAGTGGAGGAGGTGACGGACTCGCAGCTGGTGTGTCAGACTGGGCGCTCGAACAGAACCGGGGGGGTCTCTGTGTCCGTGTTCTTCGGGAAAGCCAAGAGGATGGTCCCGAATGGAGCCTTTAAATACATGGACGACCCGGTGATCACGAGAGTGGAGCCTGGAGAGAGCTACCAGGCGTAAGACAGCACACACTCTAAATACATGAAGATACACACTGTAATAATCTAGGTGTAGGGGAGTCAGTGCTCATTTGTATGCGAGGTAGTTTCAGTAGTAGTTGTAGTAGTTGTAGTAGCTGTGTTATAGCAGAGTAGTAATAGTAGTACACGTACCAGTCCCATAGTACTTATTGTAGGAATGTAATCGTAAAAAGCAGTAGTGGTAGTATTAATAACTGTAGCAACAATAATTATACTGTAAATAAGATAGAATAGAAGTAGTGGTAGTAGTAGTAGCTGTAACCTGTGCAGTAATGGTAGTAGTAGTAGTAGTAGCAGAAGCAGGACCATAGTACTTACCATAATAATAATGCTAGTATCAGTAATAGTAGAGATATTACTATTATGTTACTATGTACTAACAGTAATGCTGTATAAAAAAAAAAGCAATAGAAATTGTACAGTAGTAGTAGTTTGCAAGCAGGATTTGTTCACAAATATTGGGTCATCAAACTGAGTCGGCCGCCACGCCGGCCTTGACCGACCCCCCAGCCACAACTGCCCCACACCACTTGAACTGACCCCATGAGACAATCCTCAAAAGTTCATGGCCTATTTTTTAAAATAACTTTTTGGCAAATAATAGCACGTCTGCATCTTGTATTTTGTTGATTATTTCAATAAATATATATATTTATATGAAGTATTTACGTTTAAATAATTACATGACGTATTTACATTTGCTACTGAATTTGCCACAGAATTTTCATCACCTGACAACCTTGAGATCAAACAGTGACAGTTAACACATGCACAGAGTTCTGTAGTGCAGTTAAGGACAGAAAAATGACTTGTGTTAAAGTACAAACAGTGGACGACCGATTATTTTTGTTCAGTGTAAGGACCATGCAGCCTGTCTGACAAAAGTGTGAATATAATCTGCGTCATCAGGGTTAAACAATTCTGTTATACGACCGACTCAACCCCGACCTCCATCACAGTCAGGAGCTTATGATAATGTGGCCCCCGGAGAAAAATGTTTGGTGACTCCTGTTCTAGACATAAAAACTAAACACATTTGTAATTAAATACAGTATATTTTGTAAATTTACTCAATCACACATTCTTCCAAGAATACATTGTGGCATTTTACTTTAACTTTTTTTTTTACAAATCTGTTGTGTTTTTTCAGTGGAGGCCGAGTGCTGCTGGTAGAGGGCAGTAACCTGGATGTGGTGCAGCGCCCTCTGGTGGTGGTGTCGGTGGAGCCAGAGACACAGAGAGAAGTGAAGAGGAAGAGGAGGAGACAGGCTCTGCTCAACGCCAAACAGCAGGGCTTCAACAACTCTGTGACCACGGTGAGCTCCACTACACTGTTGTTAGTCATTTTTATTTCAATACCAAGTAATACTACGGCAAGTATTGTAATATCAGTCCAATACTAAGAATTTTAGAGTTTCAGCTGATCTGAAAATTAAATATATGTACTGATAAGCTCAAATGTAAACAGTGTGATTAAAAAACAGTAATTCTTTCTTTCTTCAGTTTTAAGGATCAGTATTTTTGTATGAGATAGTTTGCTCTCGATATGCCTGTCACTACTTTTGGGTGTTTTTTTATTTTTTTTATTATTACAGTAAACTTTTTGTGAGATGTAATTTTAAGCAATTAAAGTTAAAGGTGCACTGTGTAACTGTGTTTTCTGGTAGTGGCACCACCACTTCGACTCCCCGTATTTACATGAAAGCTTTAATTCTGAATAAAAATAGTTTAATCATGAATAAAAATTTATTCTGCTTTAAAAGACCATATAATCCCTAGTGAAAATAATTATCCTCAGCTGACAGACGTAAAGCGTGAGGATAGAATTGTCGAGCTGCTGCTTAATTATCATCGGAACGACTGCGAAAAAAGTTTGTATTGCGTTTGTGTTCGTTGCCTAACGTCAAATTGACATGACAAAAAAGTCGGTAGCAGCTGAAGTGCATTTTCTTCCGGTAGACGTAAAGGTGTAAATAATAAAAAATAGTTTGTGTGCCCCTTGTCCAATCAGAACCCTTCCTGACCCCCAGACATTGATCGGAATTCAATAAAAGCAGATTTAACGTGAATGTTTTCCATGTAAACCTCAATTCTGAATTATTATTTCCATGTAAACTCGAAGGAGAATATTTTAATTCTTCAGAACAATTAATGCAGAATTAAAAAAACATCATGTAAATGTGGCCAGTGTGGCATTTAATGTAACTATCTCCATGGAGACAAGCAGGCCACATCACCAGGCCAAGTGATAGGTCAGATCTGTGGAGAATTGGACCTGCTCACCACCATAATGCATGTTTTTGCAGTAGTTTTGAGATATAAAAGCACTATTATGAATACCAGATATAGTTGAAATATCAGATATATTTTAATGCCATACTGTGGAACATCACAGGCAAAGCTATAACATCACCATGGAAACAAGCAGATGGCAGACCCTCCACCAGAAAAGTGACAGTGCTTCTTTAGACAATATATAGAAACAAGTTAGAATTTAAAGGTTAAATAATTTAGGCCTACAAAACAAGCATAATATTATGAATAATTTCAGCTCCTTTTTAAATGTTTTCTCTATTTATTTTTGTTTTTGTAGGTGTCAGAATTGTGTGTCCTGGACTCCCCCTCCCAGATGTCCTGTCCGACTCCTAAAGTGTCTCCTCAGTATAAAGTGAAGGGTCTGTGGTTCCAGTTGGACAATGTCAGAGTGGACTACGAGACCATCAAGGTACTGGGATTGGTATATTTGTTCTTCTTTAGCAAATGTGTAAAAAAATCTACATACAAATTGTGACAAAACTGTTAATATCACTCACCTTCTTATTTATTTGTGTTTAGGATAAAAAGAGTGGAAGTTTTGTTTATTACCCAAACCCAGAGCTGTATCCACTGAACAGGGAGGCTCCAGACACGCCGTACAGATTCAAACCTGGAGGAGTAATCGCAGTGGAGGTACATATTCTTTTCTTATAAAGCAGTATAATGTATTTTAAAAGTACACTACGTAACTTTTCAGGTTGGGGGTGTGTTACCATGGAGATGCCATTGCTTGGCATGTAATGTTCCACAATTTGATACTAAACTTATTGACATGTACATTTACTCGATTGTGGGTGTTTTTATTGCTCAAAAATACATTTAAAAACATGCATTCGCCTCTTCACAGATCTCACCTGTTCTCATACTTTGGAATTTTTTCATTATTACAAAATGACAAAATATAAAATAAAATATTAGGCATAATTTAGCAAATACATTTTGTGAATGGGACACCCCTGAAGCCGACCTTATAATTATAAATGGGGCCCATAGCAATTAAAATACAGATAATACAAGAAGCGAACCATGGACCTGGACCCTGGGCCTTCACTAGGACCAATTGCTGACTATCATGACATCATTAAAAAATAAAGCCTCGCTCCAAGCTCCAGTCCAGCTGCGGACATTCCCGAGGCGTCCAAATAGAGCAGGGGTGTCAAACTCATTTTGGTCCGGGGGCCGTATCCAACCAACTTTGATCCCAAAGGGGCCGGATCAGAAAACTCATGTCATATAAACCCCAAAAATAACAATAACTTCAAATATTTGTGCAGAGAAACACAAATCTATTACAGAAATCTTTTTTAATTGATTAACTCTTTCTTATTATAATATTATAATATTATGAACCTGAACCTGAAACTTGAAGAAAAATTCAATTTCAACACAATGTTTTAACAATAACTTGTATGTAAACAGGAATAAGTCAATTTTTCTTGGAAAATCCTGCACTCGGCTCCACTTTTCTCATGTTGGACATTTTTCTGATGAGGGTGTCACGGTCAACAGTCAAAACGATCGTCCTTTAAGAGCGTTTGGAAAGAGACAAGTATTCATTTGTGCTGCTCTGGTGGGAGGGGCCACGTACAGACACACTGGAGACACTGATATGCTAAGCCCCGCAGAAAATTACCAATATTTTAATAGAAAATATAATTACAATATTTTAGTAGAAAATCACCCAAGGGCCACATTAAAGGTCTTGGAGGGCCGGATCTGGCCCCCGGGCCTTATGTTTGACACCTGTGAAATAGAGGCACCCAGTGCATTTTATATTTGCTATCACAGGGTATTCGCAAAGGCCCCAAAGATGTCATGATTTGATCCCACCTATAACTTAATGAAAAATGATTGGCTAAGACAAGTGTCAAACTCAAACTCATCCCCACACTGACTTGTATTGCACGGGCCTTCACTACAGGAAGGCGAAGGCCCTGCAGGTGTTTCTTTAGTTCAATGTCTGCAGGAGGAGTCACTGATTTACCCAGATACCACTGGAAGAAAAACTGTGACTGGGCCATTTCTATTCCATTATATTAACCCTTTGTTTCCCAAGAAATGTTAGTCCAAGTTTATAACAATGATCTAGAAATTATTACTAGTGCAGTGTTTATTATTCACTGAATAAAAAATATAGAAAAAATATATTAGTATTACAAAAATTCTTTCAATATTTTTTCTTGGGCCTTCACTGAATACATTGAAGGAATAGATGTTAATGACCTGCATACTGTCATCTACCTATTAAATTCATTATTTAAACACCTTTCCTATTACTACAAGAGACAAAATGTTTACATTCAACTCTCTTCGTATTTTACATTTAAATCAACAAGATATGAAATAATTGTTTAGAGGGCAGCAGTTGAACAGGGTTTTAGTTCATTGTATTTTTCTTGAAGCTCTAGTTTTATTTTAATATTGGAGGTAAAGCAATAACATCTCCATGGACAGAGACAAGTAACTGGTGGGCCCTCTACCAGAAAAAGTTACACACTGTACCTTTATGACTGTTTTCATGTGTGTTTTACCCAGGGACTGCACCTGACCAGGGCCATGTCTCGAGAGGAGGTGAGGGCGCGTTTGGGGGATCAGGAGTGTGAGGTGAAAACACTGGACAGCACCCATCTGTACTGTGAGCCCCCGGAGGCACAACCAAACAGCCTGGACCACAACGACCTGCCCACGCTCAAGGTAACACCACAACACCAAGAAGATTACAATTATGAGGTTCTAGCTGAGATCTTTGTTGAACCTGAGATTTTTAGAGTTAAATTATACAAATTGGCAGAGTGTTTGTCCACTGATCTACAGGCTGGTGGTTTGAATCCCACTCCTGACATAAGGGTCAGTTCATATGAAATCAGCCACCCTCCCCTATGAGCCATCTCAGATTTGGCTGAAAAATTTCCAAAATTTCTAAAATCACCAAATGAAAGAATCTCAAATTTAAGCTCAATCCCTTGAGTCGTTCCTGAGTTATGGCCAGTTGAAATTTTGGGGCCATGCTCACTTTATCTGAAGCCTTATTTCATAAGCTGTCTGCGAGACCATAACTTCATAAAAAATAGAGTTAGGAAGCTGAAATTGGTATTGTTGTAGATTCTTGGTCATAGATTCTGAATCTTTTGTCAAATATTGGGTATCTTTATTAAGGGGGGCGCTGTGGGCCCTCAAAATGTTACATTTGTTTGCCGCAGAATTTTTTATTTTTGAGGTCTAAGATTTATTTACTCCAAGCAGATATTTACAAACTAACTGTTGAACCTGAATATTTGAGAGAATGACCAACAACCTCACATTTTTCTGAGCTTTCATGTGGACAGTATAGAGTCCCAAATATGGTCACAGACCAAATGTGATCTTTTTGGCCCCTTCTTTGGAGCCTCGGTTCCCCATGTGGGCACAGTTAAATGTTGATACATTTTTTACCAAAGAAACTTTGGCATATTCTGATTAGTTTAAAGTAATAAAAACATCTACTATTAACTTCCTTCATTTCAAACGGAATTTTTGAAAATGAGCTCTCACTGGTCATTTTTGGTGGAGCTGAGGTACTTTTCCACCTGATAGAAAGGTATAAGCGTGACTTATACTCCGGAGCGACTTATAGTCCAAAAAATACAGCACTCATAAAGCCAAATTCTAGGTTGAAGTTGTCACAATAGACCTTTTTAAAAAATGATTAGTTTAAAGGTACATCAAATGGCTAATTGGCTGTATGGGATAACTAAGAATCACAGTGTGATCATAAAAAAATAAAAATGAAACAAAATTTTTAATAAGACAAAATACAAAATTCTCCTCTCTCCTAACCTTCTCTCTCTGTTCTCTGCCCCAGGTGCTGATGGGTAATCTGGAGGTGGACCTTGGTATGGTCCAGTACGACTCCGACTCCCCCCTCCCCCCGGTCCCACTGGCCGCTCAGATCGGACTGGGAGCTGGAGCTGCTGTCATCATCCTGTCTGTGCTGGTGGTCATCCTCATGTACAGGTACAAAACTAAACTAAACCAGCCTATTGATACTTTGCAGTGACACCATGCTGGGGGTGTTTTACCTGTATGTTTATGACCTGTAAGTTTCCATGGTGACACACTGCACACATTAGCAAACACCACCAAGAAAGTTTTCAAGACAGTCTGAAAACTCAAGAAAAATAGGAGCATTGTGAATTCGTGTATCATTCGTTCATTTTGCGCTGAAGGAATCTTTCTTTCTTGTTGTGTGTGTGTGTATATTAAATGTGGGTATCTTGAATCTGTTGTATTTTTTTTTCCAGGAGGAAGAGTAAACAGGCTCTGAGGGACTATAAGAAAGTTCTGCTGCAGCTGGAGACTCTGGAGATCAACGTGGGAGACCAGTGTCGCAAAGAATTCACCGGTAATGACTACAGACTTATTCCCGTCTTAGAATGGTCATAATGTCTTCACTGTGCAGTCTGTAAACTTTCTCGTAGTTATTTTATTTAACCTAGTATCAAAACTAGATACTCATTTGAGCAGGTATCGATAGAAGTCACATTCACAGGACGTAAATTAACCTTTCCTGAAGCTTTAGAATGATCTTGAGCTGCATCAGAACAAGTATAAGAGCACATAGACTAGTATACGCCCATGGACGATCTGTGGAACCTACCTGGACCACAACACAGATGTAAGACCACATTGTAATATAAAAGAAAGTACTATGATTTAATGTTAAAAATCACATTATGTTATCTAAATACTGTAGTGTTTCTTATTATTGATATTGAGTCTATTTCTTAGTATCAAAATCTACTTTCAGTGTGCCAAATGGCCGAGTCCTGCTGGCAAAAGTAGCACCTCTTTCTCTTTCTATATAAGTATTTTTTTCTTCTTGGAGTATATTGTCTTACACGTTGCCATGTGAGGGATGTAGTTATGTTGGGATGAGAGAGGATTTGCTGTTCTATGGCAGTCTTCTCCATCCGCGTATCATTCGTTCATTCGTTTTTCAAAATAAAACCAAAAATAAGAAAACGACAAAACAACTATTTTCTTCATTGTTTGTCTTCAAAACCAAAATTAAAAAACAGATAACGATTAGTTTTTTTCAGTTTTCTATTTTGTGTTTAAATGAATAATGGAAAAAACGGATAGTGGATTTTTACACCGCATATGGACTGAACCCGGACTGAACCAGACCGGGACCAGACCGGAACTAAGACTAGGATTGAGACCAGAACCAGACCAGGATTGAGACTGGGAACAGACCGGGACCAGACTGGGACTGAAACCAGGATTGAGACCGGGATCAGACCAGGATTGAAATTGGAACCAGACCAGGACGAGACTGGGACTGAGACCAGGATTGAGACCGGAACCAGACCGGGACCAGACGGGACCACTGTGGGACTGAGACCAGGATTGAGACTGGGACCAGACTAAGACCAGACCGAGACCACACTGGGACTGAGATCAGGACTGAGACTGGTTTAGTCCTGGTTTAGTCCGTATGCACATCGCAGTTTAAGTCACGAAAATGGGAACCAGCCGTTATCTGTTATTTCCATTATTCATTTAAACACAAAATCAAAAACTGAAAAAAACGAACCGTTATCTGTTTTTTTCATTTTGGTTTTGGAGACAAATAATGAAGAAAATAGTTGTTTTTTTATTTTCTTATTTTTGGTTTTATTTTGAAAAACGAATGCACGAATGATACATGGATTCTTCTCTAGCACTGTTCAAAAGATATGCAAGCAGTGCATGCTTTCTGCATAAATAATTGTTTTTTCTTCAACTTCGGTGGAGGTGTAGTCTTATGAGTGTAGTTTGGGTCAGATACATTTGAGACATTTGCGAACTTTTGTCACACCCCCTTTTTTAGTGGACTAACTGATGTCTTTAGTCGACCAAGAATTTCTTGATTTCACCACAGCCCTATTCCAATTTGTGTACTTTTGTCTCCTCTAGACCTGATGACAGAGATGATGGACCTCAGCAGTGACGTGGGAGGACCTGGAGTACCATTACTGGACTACAAAACATACGCAGAGAGAGTGTTCTTCCCTGGACAGCAGGGGGCGCCACTGAGCAGACAGCTAGACCTGCCAGAGTCCAGGAGGATCACAGTGGAGCAGGGCCTACAGCAACTCAACAACCTGCTCAACAACAGGCTGTTTCTGACCAGGGTAAGAAGGAGCAGACAGGAGTAGAGCCAAATAAACATGAGAAAGATATTAAGTTTAGAGTTAACAGGAAACATTGACTCTCACTGTAAGCGAACACATTTATATTTTCATGTTTTGGTACCTTTCAGTTCATCCACACGTTGGAAGCTCAGCAGGGCTTCTCTCAGAGGGACAGGGGTTATGTGGCCAGTCTCCTCACGATGGCGCTACATGATAAACTGGAGTACTTCACAGAGGTGATGAAGAGTCTACTGCAGGACCTGGTGCAGCAGTACGTGGCCAAGAACCCCAAACTCATGCTCAGACGGTACGACAACTATTTCACTCTTCGTAACTGTATTCATATCTGCAAAACACAAACATGCGAGTTTGTATTAAATATAGCTCGATAGGCAAATGATTAATTAATGATTCACAGTATGTTAACCCCAATTTCAGAAAATATTGTCTTGACTGCAACACCATCTACTGGCACCAAATTAAATTACAAGATTGTCAGGCTGTTTGAATAGAAAGGCATATATTGCGAAGATGAGTTTCAAATGGCATCACAAGATTCAATACACCAATAATATTTTATACAAATAGGGGGCAGCTAAAATTAATATAGTTAAAATTTAAATTAATGTAGTTTTTGGGTCTATAAGTACAATGTAATTAACAATTAATAAACTGTCTCTTGCCCCCATCTGAGAGTCACTTTGTAGAATCTGAAAATCAACAATAATGTCATTTGTGATTGTAGTATTAGTTGTAGTATGCAGTTTTAATTGTAGTGATAGTAGTACTAGTAGTTAATCTTAAGTCTTTGCCTGTCAGTGATGGAACTTTCTGTCATACAAACTTCTTAATATCATATCAACTTTTAAAAAAAAATTTTTTTTATTAAAGTAGAGGCATTCGTTTGGCACGCACATTTAAATTTTTCTGTGGTACATTTTTCTGTGAGATTTTAAAGTTGTTAAATATGCAAAAACTCAGGTTAGAGATTGGTTTTACAAAAATGGCTGGCAGTGAAAGAGTTAATTGTAGTAATAGTACTACTAGTAGGAGTAGTATCAGCAGCAGTAGCAGTAGTAGCAGTATTTCTAGTAGTAGTAGCAGTAGTCACAGTAGTTCTAGTAGTAGAAGTAGTAGTAGCAGTAGTAGTTGCAGTAGTTCTAGAAGTAGTAGCAGTAGTAGTAATAGCAGTTAGTAGTAGTAGCAGCAGGAGTAGCAGAAGTTCTAGCAGTAGTAGCAGCAGTAGTAATACTTCTAGTAGTAGTAGCAGTAGTAGCAGTAGTAGTAGCAGCAGAGGCAATAGTTCTAGTAGTAGTAATACTTCCAGTAATAGTTGCAGTAGTAACAGTAGTAGTAGTAGTAGCAGTAGAAGCAGTAGTTCTCGTAGTAGTAGCAACAGTAGTAGTAGTTCTAGTAGTAGTAGCAGTAGTAGTTGTAGTTCTAGTAGTAGTAGCGACAGTAGAAGTAGCCACAGTAGAAGTAGTTCTAGTAGTAGCAGCAGCAGTAGTAGTAGTTCTAGTAGTAGTAGCAGTAGTAGTAGTAGTAGTTCTAGTAGTAGTAGCAGTAGTAGTAGTTCTAGTAGTAGTAGCAGTAGTAGTAGTAGTTCTAGTAGTAGTAGCGACAGTAGAAGTAGTTCTAGTAGAAGCAGCAGCAGTAGTAGTAGTTCTAGTAGTAGTAGCGACAGTAGAAGTAGTTCTAGTAGTAAGAGCAGTAGTAGTTCTAGTAGCAGTAGTAGGTCTAGTAATAGTAGCACCAGTAGCAGTAGAAGTAGTAAAAGTAGTAAAAGTAGAAGTATGAAGTCCTAATATCTCCTCTGATTCCAGGACGGAGACAGTAGTGGAGAAGATGTTGACAAACTGGATGTCCATCTGTCTGTACTCCTTCCTCAAGGTAACGCCCTGACCCTCATACACTCTTCAGTATTCCATGTTTTTTTCTGGATCTAAATGAACTTCTTCTTTCCCTTCAGGACGTGGCAGGAGAGCCTCTGTACATGCTGTATCGTGCCATAAAGTACCAGGTGGATAAGGGGCCGGTGGATTCAGTGACGGGGAAAGCCAAGCGCACTCTGAATGACAGTCACCTGCTCAGAGAGGACATCGAGTACTCTGCCATGGTAACAACCCAGGGATAATATGTTTAAAGGGTCCATTTTACACTATTTTCTGAGGTACACTACTGGTCAAAAGTTTTAGAACACCACACTTTTTCCACTTTTGATTCATGAAAGTGTCCACCTTTGGCAGATATAACAGCTGAACACACTCGTGGCTCAAATATTCTTCAGAAAGTTCTTCCCAAGTCTGTTGCAGAAGTTCCCATAAATGTGTGGCACTTGTAGGTTTCTTGGCTTTCACTCTTCTGTCCAGTTCTTCTTAAAACCAGCTCGATAGGGTTAAAGTCTGGAGACTGTGCTGGACACTCCATGTTTTCAAGCTTTACCATCTTGTTCTTTTTTCCTGAGGTAGTTTTGGCAGAGCTTGGACTTGTGTTTTGCATCTTTTACCTTTTTTTAAAAACCTCTGGCTGTTCAGTTCTTACCATTTCAAGCTCTTCATTGGACTTGCACGACTTGAATTGCAATAAATAACTGGAAAAATTAGCGTGTTCTAAAACTTTTGACCGGTACTGTATGTTATAATGTGGTTTCCTCATCAACAACATAACTGGAGTTGTGTTTTGTTTCATTCACACGTGTTTAATTAACACACAAACCCTGCGTAGGTATTCAGGACATCACTAGGTGGCACAGAGCATTTTGAGCTTTGGAAATGTAGGCAGACTAATCATAAAGAGTTACTCAAATATGTGTGAATGAAACAAAACACAACTCCAGGTCTGTTTTTGATGTGGTAACGACATTTTAACATGGCTTAAAGTTCACAAGAGTCGATTTTGTAGTAGAATAGGGCCTTTCATGCAGGTCAAATGTACCTGGCAAATTATAATTTTGTGCTTTATTTAGGCTTGCACGGTGTTACTTTTCTGATAAAGGAATGTTCTGCGTCTCACTTGAGCAGAATTTATTAGATTTTATAGTTTTTGTTGTTGTTGTCTTGGTTGTTTTTTCTCGCTTAAAATACCTTGAAAACCTTGAATACTTGATACCATGAGTGGGGTCACCTCTCCACAGATCTGACCTGGCCTCTGTAAATTTGCTGCATCACTTTCTTGCCCCCCTGGTGATAGATTAGTTTAATGCCATACTGTGGAACATTCTAGGCAAAGCAATAACATCCCCATGAAGAAGACAAGCAAGAAGCGGACCCCAAAAAAGTTACATAACGCATCTATTTTAAAAAAAATTGATCCACAAGGGGTATTAGTGCAGTGGCTCAACATTACAATCCAAAACAGTATTGAAATTTAGTTATTTTTAGCCAATCATTGCGTGGACCATGACAACAACACAAACATAAACAACAATATTAGCCCAGTAGTAGCAGTAGTAGTAGCAGTAGTAGTAGCAGTAGTAGTTTAAAATATAATATATGTATGTTTTTTATGAATCTGTAGCAGTACACCAGACATCATTTAGCACAGTATGTTCACATAACGATAAACGTGCCTGTTGCTATGGGTGAATCTCAAACCACTCCTCACCCACTCACTGCAATACAGCCACACCATTGATCTGTCTGCCAATAAGGCCCACGCAGCTGTGGAAACGGGGAGCCTAACAAGATGTATTTTTTTGCATTTAAAAAATAAAATCTCGTATTCACACTTCTAATCTGACCTTCTGTTTCTTTTTTTCAGACACTGACAGTTTTGGTGAAGAACGGTGTGGAGGTGCAGCACTGTCCAGTTAAAGTTTTGGATTTAGACACCATCACACAGGTACCTCACTGCCCTTAGACAGAGATGAATGTTAAAGCACTCTGAATTTGTGTATTATTTTATTTTCGTATTATGCTTAGGTATGCACTGATCCAGCATTTTTAGTTCCGATACCAATTTCGATACTATAGCTTTTAAGTATCTGCCAATACCCGATATCAATCAATACCAAAGCAGAAAGAAAAGAAACAAAACAGATCCAAATTTATTACAGAGCTGTTATTTACATCAGAACACCTTTGTGTACATAAAAGTTCAAACATTATGAGATTTTCTGGGGCGACTACAACTGTCCCTCTATCCATTTCCTTTCGCTTATCCGGGGCCGGATTAAGCAGGGACTCCCAGACTTCCTTCACCCTGGACACTTCCTCTAGGGGACCCCGAGGCGTTGCCAGGCCACCAGAGACATAGTCCCTCCAGTGTGTCCTGGGTCTTCCCCAGGGCCTTCCTCGGGTGGAACATGCCTGGAACACCTCCTGAGGGAGGTGCCCAGGAGGCATCCGGAACAGATGCTCGAGCCACCTCAACTGGCTCCTCTTGACGTGGAGGAGCAGCGACTCTACACCGAGCTGCTCCTGTGTGACTGAGCTCCTCACCCTATCTCTAAGGGAGCGCCCAGCCACCCTGCGAAGGAAACTCATTTCCCACTTGTATCCGCGAGCTCATCCTTTCGGTCATTACCCAGAGCTCATGACCATAGGTGAGGGGAGGAACGTAGATTGACCAGTAAATGGAGAGCTTTGCCTTTCAGCTCAGCTCCCTGTTCACCACAATGGCCCGATACAGCGACCGCATCACTGCAGACGATCCGCCTGTCAATCTCAACCTCCATCCATCCTCCCCTCTGACTACAACCAGTAAATAGTCAAACTACATCAGTTTATAAGTCCAATCAGGATCCCAGTATCAGATTGGTGCATCCCTATTTATACTGGTGAACAATCAAAATATAGCATCATAATAAAACTGCTTAAGTCATTTTGCCTGCTGCATTTTTAAGTCTCACTGGTTCTGTCCTCGGCCAATCAGAAAGAATTTTACAACAAAATAAAAACGCCCAAGTCACAGTGGCAGTTTATTTCTCTATTTTCCCAAAAAACTTCAAACATGACTTAGGTAATTATGCTAGGAAACTAAAAATATGCAAAGTTTATATGTTTGACTATAACTCTGTCACCTGCAGCTGCCTATGAGCACAGTGGTTGTCTAGGTTGTCTATGTTTGGGCGGAGGCTCTAGTCCTGTAATACTGTTGATCTCCTCTCTTCTCTGTGCAGGTCAAAGACAAGATCCTGGACCAGGTTTATAAAGGCGCTCCGTTCTCCCAGAGACCAGCAGCCGACAGCCTCGATCTGGGTATGAAAACTGATTACTTTGGCTTGGCAAACTGTAATGCTGCGTAACAAACTCCTGGTTTTAGTCCTGATTTTATTCTTGGTTTAGTCCTGGTTGAATCCTGGTTTAGACCTGGTTTTAGTCCTGATTTATTCTTGGTTTAGTCCTGGTTGAATCCTGGTTTAGACCTGGTTTTAGTCCTGGATTTAGTCTTGGTTTAGTCCTGATTTAGTCCTGGCTTTAGTCCTGGTTTAGTCCTGGTTTTAGTTCTGGTTTAGAGACAGAACAAAAAAGTCCCAAGGCATAAAAGGTGACGCCCCAAACTATGAGTAATTTGTCAGAATGGCGACATAATTTTACAGCTGATACACACACAATTACCGATATCAGTACTGCTGCAGATGTGTACAGATGTGGACCATGATTTTTTTTCTTCTCTCTTCCTCTTTCGGTGGGTTTTTGCCGCTGCTCTAGAGCTTTACAAACCTAACACGATGTGCAGTAGTTTCATTAGCAGAAATCACGACAATTATACTGTGATAGCGCTGTGAAGGACTGTTTTTTTGTCAGTGTCAAAAACGAAAGTGAAATTATAAATGTTAATAAGTTATTTTCGGCGAATATAGCATTTTCAAACCAATACAAGGTAACACTGTGATCTATAGATTATGTGTTGGCAGTTAATACCCCACAGAAGTAAAATACCCCCTCTTTAAATAACCTCATATCTTCTTATGTCTGACTCATGCTGGTGCAGAGTGGCGCTCGGGTCAGGCAGGGCATCTGACTCTCTCTGACGATGATGTCACTGCTGTGGTCCAGGGACGATGGAAGCGAATCAACACTCTACAGCACTATAAGGTCATTTTAATTCATTTTTTTAATCAATGCATGGATGAAAAATTAGGATTGTGTATTATATCTTGGTTATGAATGATAAAAAAAAGTCCTCAAAATGTTGCATGTAACAGGAAATTTAAACTGGTGAGGGCATGGTTTCTAAAAACATCAGACCAATCAGAACACAGCACCTCAGTCTATAAACACCCCAAATATTTTTAACCTCCGTCCATTTATCCAGGTTCCAGATGGTGCCACTGTGGCCCTAATTCCTCGATGCAGCGCTGGGAATGGAGTCAGCCAAGTGTTCCAGACCGGAGAAAGTAAGGAATAAACTGGTTATTAATAAACAACTCTCTCTCTCTACTCTACTCTACCTTACATTTATTCAATTACAGGTGGTTTTATAACTCAAAAATACCTAGAAAAACAGGGATTCTGTCTGTGAGCAGTGTTCTCTCTCCACAGATTTAACCTGTAACTTAGTCTAAAAGTTACACAATGCACATTTAAACTATTTATTGCTGTTTTTATGCTGCTGATAAGCCGGACCTGAGCACAGTGTTTTATTTGTGTCATTTTTAAATTGAATTGACAAATAAATAGATTCTAAGGGATATTAAAACAAATCCTATAGGCTCTATTCATGCTTACAAGAAGACATTTGGAAACAAGCGGATGACGACTTCCGGTGCAGTTATCGACACTGCACATGTGATAAAACTGTGGATTCAGCAGCGTCTTCACAGCCTGCCAAAGATTTCCATGGGGGACGTGACTCTAATCGCGTCTTCAATGTCACTTACAGGTGGCTACAGTTAAAAAAATATATATAAATTAGACAAATTATAATATGCAAATTAATAGGAAATTTATAAAAGGAAAAAAAAAGAATACAATGACATCTAAATGAAGAAAACCAAACTCAGTTTTTCCAGATTTTGTCAGAGTTACTAACTGACGTAAGCGTGGATAGAGCCTATTAAAGCTTTTTGTGTTTATTTGTTGCAGAAACACCGATGTTGGAGGGCGAGGAGGAGGAGGGGCTGCGTCTGTGGCACCTGGTGAAGAGCAGCGAGGATCCAGAAATCCCCAAACACCGAAAGAGCAGCATGAGAGAGAGGGAGAGAGCTAAAGCTATCCCAGAGATCTACCTCACCAGGCTCCTGTCTATGAAGGTACTGAACCAGGACTGGACCGGGACTGGACCGGGACTGGACCGGGACTGGACCGGGACTGAACCTGGACTAAACTGGGACTGACCCAGGTCTAAACTGGGACTGAACTGGGACTGAACTTGGACTGAACCAGGACTGAACCGGGACTGAACCAAGACTAAACCAGGAATAAACTGGGACTGAACTGGGACTGAGCCAGGACTGAACCAAAACTTCAAGCCAGTGCAGCTAATTTTTATGGTCATAAAAAAAGTGAAAAACAACTAGTTAATTTTAAATTGTGTGTGGCGGTCCAGTGCCGCTTTTCACTACTTTGGCTTCACGGTATTGCAAACAACCACTGGCATGTTAACAGGAAATTTTATATCTAGATGCAGACACGCCACAGTGATTATTTATTTTATTTTGACCCCAAGACCTGCTTATACAATATATCTGTACTGGGGCAGACAAAATTTGCTCCAATACATAGTTTAAAAAAATCAGGTACAGGTCCTTTAACCAGGTCAAACTCTGTCTCTTCTGTAGGGAACTCTGCAAAAGTTTGTGGATGATGTTTTTGTGGCCATCTTGAGCACGAAGAGGCCTCCACCGATCGCAGTGCGCTTTTTCTTTGACTTTCTCGATGACATGGCAGAGAAACACGGCATTGACGACCCAGAGACTGTACACATCTGGAAAACCAACAGGTAGGTTTCGAAATGATAAAAAACCACACAAAAAATTACAAGACAAAAAAATGAAATAAATATATGTTTTTTGTTTTGTTTTTGCAGTCTTCCTCTCCGATTCTGGGTGAATATTTTGAAGAATCCACAGTTTGTCTTGGACGTCCAGGTGACAGACAGCATCGACGCGGTTCTTTCGGTCATCGCGCAAACTTTTATCGACTCCTGCACCACTTCTGAGCACAAAGTTGGACGGGTACGAGACACTTCTTTTTAAATTCAAGGCTTCTGATTGGATAATATTACTGTTTTTCTGATCATGTGACTTTTCTTTGACCATCAGGACTCTCCGGTGAACAAACTGCTGTACGCCAGAGAGATCCCTCGGTATAAGCAGCTTGTAGAGAGGTCAGATTTTAATTTGATTTCAAGTTTGAGAATATTTTTAGTTTTATCAAAGTTATTCAAAAGACTGACCGTTTTGAATTTGAAATATGATCTTTTTCCTCTCAGATACTACAGTGACATCCACAGTGCCGCGTCAGGGTGTTACCAGGAGATGAACTCCACTCTCACGGAGCTCTCTGGGGTTAGTAACATTTTTCATTTTTTCATGATTCCTAAACTAAATTTGCACTAAACTCAAGTAATTGTAATTTTTTTTTTTTTTCAGAGTTTTGCGTCAGAAATGAACACCCTTGTGGCTCTTCACGAACTATACAAATACATTAACAAATACTACGACCAGGTAAGGAAGATGCTGACATTACACCTAGTTTGGTTTAAAGGTGCACTATGTAACTTTTCGGTTGGGGGTCCGTCAACTGTTTCTGTGGAGACGTCATTGCTCTGCCTGGAATGTTCCACAGTATGACATTTAACAGCTCTACCTTAGATTTATTTTTGTTTTATGGCTCAAAAATACCTCAAAAAACAGGCATTCTGACTGTGAGCGGGGTTGAGTCTCCACAGATCTGACCTGTAACTTGGTCTGGTTTGGTCTCCATGAAGATAGAAAGGTTGAATACCATACTGTAAAACATTACAGACAAAGCAATAACATCTCTATGGAGAAAAGCATTTGATTAGCCTGATTCATCAGCCGGTTTCACTTTGTGGAAACCGTCTGACCTCGCAGCATTAGGATTTGTGTACTCTGCAGTAGGCGGGTACTTTTTTATTTAACCAATCGCTGCTATTTAGTTGTGACGTATGTAATGCACCTCTAACAAGGCTAACTGGTATATTAAGCTTTTCCCAAATTCCGTAAGAAGAAGTACGATTAGTCGAAACGTCTTTCCCCTTGATTAAATTCACCATAAATTCTCTTTGTTCCGGCTTTAAATCCTCAATCTCGGGAATCGTTGCCAACACAGAAAGTATGTTTTCTTCTACATCCATCTCAACCGATTTATACAATGATGCGGCTGATATATGGACGGATTATTTGTTTGGCACATATTCAGTTGCGACCTATACATGTACTTTTTTTTTCTTTACAAATTGAGTTGATGCAGCTTATATTCAGGTGTGCACAATAGTCTGGAAATTCTGCATTTGAGGGACACGTGCTACAGATTAGCAGCTGTGGTTGGATCTTCTAAAATTTGGACAGAGGTTTTTCATGCTCTATGGTCCAGTTCTAGTCTCTTCTGGATTCGAACAAAATGTAGAAGGGACTGGCTGGTCAGGCTATTCAATCCGTGTATCATTCGTTCATTCATTTTTCAATATAAAACCAAAAATAAGAAAATGAAAAAACAACTATTGTCTTCATTATTTGTCTCCAAAACCAAACTGAAAAAACGTATAACAATTAGTTTTTTCAGTTTTCGATTTTGTGTTTAAATGAATAATGGAAAAAACGGATAATGGACGTTTCCCGTTTATGTGACTTAAATTGACTAAACCAGGACTGAACCGGATCCGGAACCAGACCGGAACCAGACCAGGACTGAAAACGGTTTAGCCCTGGTTTAGTCTTCTTTTAGTCCTGATTCGGTCCTGGTTTAGTCCTGGTTCAGTCCTGGTTCAGTCCATTATCCGTTTTTTCCATTATTCTTTTAAACACAAAATCAAAAACTGAAAAAACGAATCATCTGTTTTTTCATTTTGGTTTTGGAGACAAATAATGAAGAAAATAGTTGTTTTTTCGTTTTCTTATTTTTGGTTTTATATTGAAAAACGAATGAACGAATGATACACGGATCCTACTCCCTACCTTCATACTACCACTCTTACTTCCGGATATTTTTTGACAATAAATATAGTCCCTAAAATAACTCTCATTGCTTCTGTTTTTTCAGGTGATCATGGCTCTGGAGGAGGACAGCTCTGGTCAGAAGATGCAGTTGGCCTATCGTCTGCAGCAGGTGGCCGCTTTGGTGGAGAACAAAGTCACCGATCTCTGAAAGAAAAAAAAAATACTTATGAGTATCACGGATTTCAGCCAAACACTGAACAACCAACAACTTTGCCAATAAAAAAACAAGCCAATCACCAAGCAACCACCAGCTGACCCAGCAAGAAGCCAAAACCTTCCCAAAATGGCTGTTAAAGGTGCACTGTGTAACTTGTTGGTTGAGGGTCCTTCACCTGCTTTTTTCTATGGAAATGTCATTGCTCTGCTTTGAATGTTTCACAGTATGACATTAAACAGCTCTACCTTAGATTTATTAAATTCCAGGTGGTTTTATAGCTCAAAAATACCTAGAAAAAGAGACATTCTGACTGTAACTTGGCTTGGTTTGGTCTCCAAATGAATTAGGATTAATGCCATACTGTGAGACATTCCAGACAAAGCATTAACATCCCCATGGACGAAAGCATTTGACGGACCCTCCACCGGAAAAGTTACACAATGCACCTTTAATCCACACGTTTGCAACCGGAATCAGGGACAACGAAAGCACAAAGACCTTTTTCCCCATTGAGTTTTATGGGACACAATCACTGAAAAGCCAAGACCTGCGGAAAAAGCTACTTAAGGATGGTGTGTGTGTTTTCGATGGAGGACTTTACGGTCAAAGAGAAGCACAGTGGACAGAGGGACTAACTTCATGTGTCTTCCTGCTGATTTGTGTGAAAATGAAAAGATTTATAGATTTGTTGTTTTTTTTAGATTTCGACTCAGGAGGTTTTCTTCACACACTGGCAACAGGCAGAAAAGTAGATCCGTGCCATTCGCATACTTGCGTCTCAAATTTTGCGTCAGCACTAGAGACACGTATTCAAATAATTTTCCAAAATAATTTCCCTAGAATTTAAAGGCCGTATATTACACAAAATGGATCTGAACTTTGAGCCTGAATTTGTGTTTTGTTTCATTCAGATGTGTTGCTCAAAATGCTCTCTTCCACCTTGTGATGTCATGAAGCGATAATTTTCAAGTTAACAGCTACATTTTGCCTTTTTTGTTCAATAGAGATTGGCAATTCCAGGACTGAATTTATCCAAATGATTCTAGTGAATGTAAATGGAGTTTAAAAACACAGTGGAGCACTTCCTTTATTATCATGACATCACAAGTGTTTTCTATGTGAGAGAAGGACTAAATGTGCAGGGTTTCTGAAAAAAACTATGAAACAAAACCTAACTCCAGGTATGTATTTTGATGAGGAAACAACATTATAACAGATCATAAAACAGCGTGGTATAGGCCCTTAAAAGAAATCTAGAAAAACGACTGTTGTTCTTTGCTACCAAATATACCTGTACTCAAATTTTCTCAACATTTTCTTGTTATAAAAAAACTGACAATCTTCTCTTCAGGGACCACTGAGTGTATTGCCTTGACTACATTTCCCAGAGTTCTCTCCTGCCTGTTGTTTGTGTGAAGAACTACAAAAGCACAAAGCAACGTTTCCAGAAAATCTACAGTTCATTGCCAGTTCTAATTATTTTAAGCTATGTATTACTGCTTTGTAAGACATGCTGAAAAATGATTCGGAAAAATGTTTTTATTTCAATGCAATAACACAAATCAGGGATGTTAGAGAAGCTCAAAGTTCAGTGGGATTCTAGTTCCTGCTAAGAGTCAATGTAAAAATGGACTAACTATGTTGTCTAAACATTTAATTTGCTTTTTATGATTTTACTGAGATTCATTCCAAACAAGAGCAAAAGTACAACTCACTTGATAAATCCTTGACTGACATTTAAAGTGGGACTAAACACCTAAACTTTGAAACAGAGCTGCTAAACTGGGCAATATGAAGACTAAATGAGAGAATGATTGGAGAGGCGGAGGGTCTGGACATATGAGGAACATTGTGATTGGTCTAACCCTCCTCCCCCAATCTGGGCAGTGCTATGTAATGTCACCAACTACTGGAAATTGCAAAGGCTACTGAAGACAGGACAGATTCAAGACTTAAGCCGTGTCTCAATACGAGGGTCCTTTGAAGGCTGTGAAGGCTACAGCTCTCGAATTGGAACACGACTTTAGACTCAAGCATCTGAATCTAAGTCATCATTCTTGACCAGGAAGCTGTAAATTTATAGCCTGATTCATCAGCCGGTTTCACTTTGTGGAGGAAGGGCAATAACGTCTTTCCCCTTGATGAAATTCTCCAAACATTCTCTGTGTTCTGGCTTTAAATCTTCGATCTCGGGAATCATTGCCAACACAGAATGTATGGCTCTTCTCTGATTGGCTGGTGCCCGGACTCGCACTTCTGGGGTTCTTGTAAACCTTCTAGTGTATTCTGATTTCTGACCTAGTCGCTGGAGAGAAATGAAATTGAGCAGAAGCACTAGGTCGCGCCAGCCTGGTTAAGTAAAATTGCCTAGTTTGCTCAAAAATTGTCAAAAAAAAAAATGACTAGGAACAGTAAACAATGCTATTAAAACACCACATACAAAGTTTAGCAGCGAAAAAAGTGAATTTAGTGTTTAGTTCCACGTTAAATGAGATCTACGACTATTATCTTGTCTGATGCAGTACCACTGTTCACCACTAGAAAGACTGACCCCTACATTTAAACAGCACAATTTAACTACTTTTTCTTCACTCCCTTTGATTCATTGACACACCTAAAACTCAGTGGTTCCAAAACTTACATAAATATCTACAGTTTAATAAGGTTTAACCCAGCTCTCCTTTATATTTAAAGAAACACTGTGTTACTTTTCTGGTAGAAGGTAATGTCACCTGCTTGTCTCCATAGAGTTGTTATTACTTTTAGAGATTGACCAGTATGGGTTTTGTCATGGCCGATGCTGATACCTATTTAAAATACAGATAAACCGATGGCTGATCATCTCTGCTGATATTTTTTGACCGATACGTAGGTCAGATGTGGATTATTTTCCCCAAATCATGCAGTTTAAATTGACTACAAACTCACCCACAGTCCGTTTTTTGCATAAACCTTTAAGAGAGCTGTGTGGTCATGTTTTGTGCAGCTATTTCTTCATATTAATATTAAGCTGTGCGTGTATTTTAGGCAGCAGATCGAACCAAAACAAAATATCGGCCTGTGTTGGAGATTTAAGACCAAACTATATATCGGTCTATCTCTAATTACATAGCTAAGAATGTTCCACAGCATCGTATTACACATCTACCTTGCAATTATATTATTACAAAAAAATTTATTGTCAAAAAACACCCATTCTTACTGTGAGCAGGATCAAATCTCCGCAGATGTGATCTGTAACTTTGCGTGAAGTCTTCAACAGCTTATTTGATTTGTTTAATGCCATTTTGTGATGCATTCTGGGTGATAATATCCAATAATATCTCCATAGAAACAAGCAGGTGGGGGGGCTTTCCAGCAGAAAAGTTACATAGTGACCCTTTAACTTTAATTTTTAAGCTATATAAATAAAGTAGCCCTAATACATGCAGTATACAGTATTAGGTGTGTAGAGGGCTTCTATTTTATGTAATTTATATAGATTTTTAGACTGATTTTTGCTTTTTAAATATTTATTATTTAACTAATTTAAATATGTCACATCTCCCTTGTTATTTTTTACATGGACATGGCGTACACCTACTGATCATTTCTATTCTAATTTTCTTGCACTAAACACCTTTTTATAATCTTAGCCACAACTAGAACCCCACTGTATTTTAAACCTGCTGAAAATTCGACCAATCTGAAGTTACGACAGAAACAATCTTGAGTCTTTTTAATTTTGTGAATGTTTATAGTAACTTATTGTGTACATAACGGCTGTAAAAGTCCTATTTATTTAAGCCCGGCTGTGCCTTCTCTCTGCAGCTAGGGGGCGCTGTCTTTACTCATCGGTCTCTTCATTAAAGGCTGATTTATATTATGCCCCAATGACGAAAAGTTTTATGGAATTAATATAACATGATAGTGAGTTATTTTTAGCTGTTAGTGCCCAAACTAATCTGTAAATAATAGATTTTAGATAATTGTTCAAGCACAAATGGATTTTTTATTGGAAATTTAAGGAGCGTCAAGGGAAAATTAACTTGAATCCTTCTTAAAATTCCAATGTTTTGCTAAGTCTAACCAGCACAATAGCAGATCTTCACTATAATACAAATTGCCATAGTAATCATGATTTTCATTCACGAAAAAATGTCAAAATAAATCAGGTAACGTATCAACAGTGCCATTCGACTATCAGTGTTAAATCTCTTGTAAATGCAATAAAGGAATGAATGACATTGTAACCGAGCTTCCGTTTTAACTTGCTAATGCTACTAGCTACTTCATATTCCTCCGTGTTTTGCCTTGCGTGTTTCTTGAGCCTGTGTTGGACCCGTAGTTGTAGTTTTTGCATGCGAGTGGACACGATTACTTTTGGTGCTTCTTTTCAAATCAGTTGTTTTAGATTCAGGCCGTTGCATTTTCGGGCCTTTCTGTACAGTTTTATAATTCTTGACTTTAAATGGTCAATGTTTTGTTTTTATTTCACAAGGGAATGAACAAAGTGAATGAATAAATGTGTAGATAAATAAATGGGGGATAAGCACAATCGCTTTTCTACTGATGTGTACAGTTTGATAACAGTTTTGTGTAAAATAATTGTAAATATTTCTCTGAATGAGTTTGGAATGAAATGTGTGATTATTGTGAAACGGAATGACCCCGACACAATTTGTACAAATAAAGTTATAATTTTAACTTTTATTTTTGTCTTTTGCATTTCATTTTTGGGTGATTATAGCAGTTGTAGTCGGCTGTTTGTTGTGGGACTGGAACTTGTACTTTTTTATCGGCCCATGTTATGAAATTTTCTGAAATAATGTTATTTTTTTCATGTCAGACAGACCTGGAGTTGTGTTTCGTTCCTTCACACATGTTTTACACACAAACCCTGCATATTTAGCCTGAGTTCTCTCAAACAGAAAACACTGTTCCACCTTGTGATGTCATGTGGTAATACAGGAAGTGCTTCACTTGCTTTAAAACTCTATACACCGTCACCAGAATCATTTGGATAATTTCAGCCCTGAAATTAACCGTCTCTACTGAACAAAAAGTAAAAAGTAGCTGTTTACTTGGAAACTACCGCTTCATGACATTACAAGGTGGAACTGAGCATTTAGAATGAATGAATAATGGCCTTTATTTGTCCATTTCTTCACTTGTACATGTACATACAAAATAATTTAAATTGGACCTCTCTCCCTGTCCATACTAGGGATGGGCAATCGATTAAATTTTCTTAATCGATCGTCGGGAGAATTAACGATCGATTATCAATTAATAATTAATGTTTTATATTAAAGTTTATCATCATTATTATTACTATCTGCACTACTAATCTGCATACATAAATTCAACTTTACGACACATAAACCATAACCACTCTAGAGCCACATCAGCCCGTTTCACATTATAATGTGTTTAATGCAGTTTTGCGCAAGTCTCACACAAACTAAACGTAAAACCGCATTGCTAATTTGCATAAATTAAGCAAGAAAAAAAAACAGCTGTTGTGCGCTAATGTGACACGACTCAGTTGAATACAGGTTAGTGTGACCATATTTGCGTTTGTCTAATCCAGGACACCGTACGGGGGGTGGGACGTGGGAACTTGTCATGGACACTCTCACCTGGCAAAGTTTTTTCCCACTGGACACAGAAACATATGTGCTGCTTTGTACACTGTGCACATGGACTCACACTTGTCCCGAACACAACAGAAAGCGTGGAATTTCTTATACAAGTCATCATTAAATACGCATTTGCGTTTCGGCACGTTGCAGGCTGACCGACTGTTTCTGTTTGCTCGCTCCTTCTGAGTGCACAGAGCTACATGTAAAGGACCCCTGTTTGGTCACACTACGCACAGCAACCTACATTCGGTTTGTCGATTAAAATGAACATAATCGATGAAATTCTTAATGATTAATTATCGATTAATCGACTAATCATGCCCATCCCTAGTCCACACATTACAAACATACAATAAAATACAATACAATACAATACATGGGGAAGACTACATGGACTAGACCGGAAGACAGATAGAAACACTGCAGCATAATAGGAGGATGGGGGAAAGAGTAAAAAACAGAGAACCACCCCAGACCATGCTCCTATCAGTGCATAGTATGAGGGAGTGCACAAAAAACAACTCCTCCTCACATCAGCACATAGTCCAAACACAGTACAGACATTTCCACAGGACTAGCAACAGGGTAGGGGAGGGTTGTGGAGTTGACCCAACGTAGGCAGGCAGCCATCCAGATCCGCAACTAAAAAGCGCTGGATACAACAGACCCGCCCACCAGGCTGTGAGGGGTGCTACAGAGACAGACTAATAATAGGGGTTACTCAAACATGTGTGAATGAAAACACAACTTTAGGTATGTTTTTGAGGATATCAGCATTCTACATGGCTTAAAGATCACAAGAGTCAATTTTGTGTAATTTATGGCGGTTGGCACTCTTGGAGGCTTTCATCTTTTCTGCTGTGAATGGCCCAGGAGCTTCCCCAAGTCATTGTGGATATCGCCGAAGTGAATATTTGTCCAGGTAGTTGGCGATTCAGAGCAGAACTTTGGTTTGGTCCAGGCTTTGTAGGGGTTGAAAAGGGTTATTTGGCTCCATCGATGCTTATGACCAATTTCTGGTCAAATCGTCTTCGGTCCTCTCCCATTAGAGTGGATAAATAACAATAACAATCAATACGCTTTACGTTCTTTCTCGCTCCGTCCGTCATGTTGAATTAGTGTTTCTTGCCGCTGACCAAAATAATTCCCAGCATACAACGCGCGCTTTTGTCAACAATGAAACTCGCCTATAGGAGTAGTTGTAATGTATGTATGTATGTATGTATGTATGTATGTATGTATGTATGTATGTATGTATGTATGTATTTATGTATGTATTGCAAATCTATCTAACAATATGTTTAATCAGAAAAACAGACTATCTTTCTGGTCATATTTTTATTTGTACAATACAAATCTGCAGCATATACCACACTTCAAATGTTTATTTATTCTGAACATGGTACTTTGATTTAACTACAGACAGAGTGATCTTTAGACTTTATGGTGACCCTAGGCATGAGGTGAAGGTTGTTTGGATAAATTAAGGAGCGATTGTTGAGTTTTCAAGCCTGTTAGGAGGCTACTGGATCTCAGTGCCTATATGTAAATGGATTCTTTGTTTATACCTCATTAAAAGAAGGGTTAAAAGCAAAATTCACTATGGATTACAAATGTGTCTACTGTCCACCTTTTTCTTAGCTCCAGACATTTCTCCTACAGCAGACCTTGGCATTGTACAGCTCCTGGACCACATACGTCCCTTTGGTTCACTCTGACCGGCCCATTGAGGATAATTTGGAATTACAAAATAAACATATTTTATCATTTTACTTAATGCATAGACTAAATTCATTTTATTTTAGAGTTGTTGTTTTTTTCATGACTTTTTTTTGTAAGGCAGCCTCACTTTTTCATTGCTTAGTCTTAACATAAACTCTTACCAGTCTCACCAGCTTGTCAGACCAATGATATTTACTGCTTTTTATAAAGAAACACAATTAATATTATTCAGAGTTGAGTTAAGCATTTTGGCCCAGCCCTCCACAATATTTTCTGTTTCTCATGTGACCCCAAGGAAAAAATAATTGCCCATCCCTGTCCTATAGGCTATGTGGCTGTGTTAACAACAACTCTGCCACAGTTGCTACAAGATGGTTGCAGCTGAGTGTAGGCCACTGTTTTGTTCACTTTAAAGAGCTCAAAGTTATGAGAAGCTCCTGTTACTAAACCTCTGGGTAAGCTTCTTTGGCAGCGCACCAGGCAGGAGCAAACCACACTGTGTTTGCACTCGAATCTTGGGTCACTTTCACAGAGAGGAGGACAATTTAAGGGGATTAACTGCTTTAATTAAAGTGATTATATGATGAAGACCTCTTGCCAGTCTGCAACTAATAGCCTAGTCTAGGGGAATCCTGGAAAAAAATATTCTCTAGTTTTATTTTGTATTTATGTGTTTCTTTTTCATCACAAGAACAGTTCCTGCCTACCAACTAACCACATCACCTCCATAGATCTAAGAAAGCTAGTGGGCTCTTATACACGGGTAAAAAAAAATTGTATTCAACTTGCACTTGGCCGCATCCATTTGGAAACAGCATTCTCTTGTGACCGACGTAAATACAGATGCATCCCGTAAACAAAGTGACAACACGACTCTTTATATCGTTGTTGTGCTCAGAAATTCCTCCATGGTTCAGCTGAATCGCATCAAAATTTGGTTGTTTTTTTCTATTTTCTTCCTGCTTTCCAATCTTGCCTCCTGATTGGACACGAGGCAATTCCATTTGGGTTCCATAGCAACCACAGTGTTTACAAGAGCAAATCAATGTGTAAATTGCATAATTGTTAGAATTAGAGATCAAAACAGAAACAGCAACACCTTTCTTATGTCAAATGAAGGTCGGGAAATGCCTTTGTTGTGTCAAAACGGATGAAAGATAATTTTCTGCGTGTAGTTGGTACAGAGAATCAGCCAATCACAATACAGAGATTAGTGCTCATTCATAAAATGACCTGGGTTCAAACCCTGCTTGGATCAGAAGATGCAAGATTGCTTTGCATTAATGAACAAAAAATAAGATTTTATCAAAAGTTGAAGTTAGTTATCACTGTACATTTAAAAAGTATTAAGTAAAATTTAGGTATAGTATTAAAGTATTTACTGTAAGTAAAAGTAAATCATGTATTAACAGTGTAGAGCATACATTATTTAGAAAATCACTTTCAGAGGATCGTTCTGTAATAAAACAGTTTACAGTTGATGCTGAGACAAACTGCATTGTGTTTATTAAACTTTGAGACAGCTAATGCCTTGTTTGTGATCTAAAAAGGCTCACACAGTGCTAGTAACAAATGGTGACCTTTTGCTCCACCTCAGCCACATAAACCTGGAGTGTTCAAGAGCTCCAAAAACTACAGAGGCTCAGGTTTTCAGAGAGTCAACAACAACGTAACAGCCTCAAACACTGCCATCACATCACTAAGCTTTGGAGTACTAAACTGTTCACCACAACCACATCTACCTCTCTGTCTATTTAAGCACTTTATTATCTTTATGTTTTATACTTTATTGTGATCAGTGCTCATGTTGTCATACTTACTATTATACTACTATTTCTTTAATCTCTTCATAACAAAGTTTTATAAAATAGTGTCTTCCTGAATCTATAATAATAGAGGAAAGAAAATACACAAATCATTTTAATAATATTTATTGACAGTTAAAAATGAAAAACTAAATATATACAGTTCAGACAATTAATTTACAAGACATTACTCATATTTACATACATAATCACATACACTATTTACAGAATAAATATAAAACAGATCAACGATGTCACCAGCACAGTGTGTGTAAAGACAAGTCTTTACATTAAACTTTACACCAGAGGTCAGCTGCATATAGTAAAATTTACATGTTTAAAATGTGTTTAGAGCCGTTCACGCGCCGTGCACCCTTCTGTGATTTTGTGATATGTGATTTATGTATTTATTTTGGGCAAGTAAGAAATTTACGTTCTTTAACAAAGGAACATATAACATTAATGAAATCATAGCAGAAATAACACTTTTTTTGTGTGTGTCCAAAAAGGAGTGGGAAGAAGAAAATGTATTTAATCCCACCCCCCTTTTCTAATCTAACACAATGAGCTTTCTTTCGAATTTTTCAGACATTTATATCAAACTATATGAACTATTTACAAGTGCGGACAAAGAGTCACTGTTATATTTCGGTAACATAACTGTAACTGCAATAATACTAAAGGATACCAACAATGGTAAGGGAAATTAAAGATACCAACAATGGTAATGGACAGAACATATCAGCAATGGTAAGGAAACAGTAAGTATAAACCAGCACTACAGAAGAAAGTATCGTTCTAATATTAAGACCCACTCTCTATATACTGTGACCAGACCATGTGTTTATGTAACAACTTGAATTTATGGATATTTTGGCATTGCTTGAGATGTGTATACAGACTGTTCCAGAGTTTTACACCATTTTGACACCACACACAGAAACTTTTACGGGCAGCTCGAGCATTGGGCAATTTGAAATTTCCATATCCTCTAAAATTATGAGTTCTCTCTCTCATTTTGAACAAGATTTGTCGATTACTTGGTAATAAATTGTTGAATGTTTGTTGAACGCTCTCCCAATGCCCCTCTCCTCCTCGTGCGTGCACCCCTCTCCTCCTCGTGTCTTCAGACTTCAGAGCCCATAATAGATCTGTGTGTGTTACTAGATGCTCCTGTCGCTCCTGCTTTGGTCCCACTTCAGTCCGGTCCGTTTGGCGTGTGCGCATGCGCCTCTGCCGGTGTCCGGTGTCAGCAGCTGTTCGCTCCATAACGGAATCTCCACGGGACTGTAACATGGATCTATAACGGAGATTTACCCACGCGGGAATACCCGAGCAGACCCCGACCAGACACGGAGCGATCCGGACCGACCAGCCCAGTCCTCCCCGCTGTTCATCTGAAGCCCCGGGTCGGGAGCTAACGGGTAACAGCTAAGTGACAGCCGCGGACAGCTGTTATCTAACAGGCCACGCCGCTCCTGTGCAGCTCCAGCCGATCATCCGCGGTATTTTGGGGATTTAAAGGAGCGTCCGAGCCGGGGAGTCTCTGCACTGGACCGCCCTCTGAGGCGGACTCTACCGGACCAAACCAAGGCTAAAGGCTAACTACTACCAGAACATCCTGCTTTGGCTCGGTTCGGGAAACAGTTGGCAGGATGTTGATAGGTAATGTACCCAGAAGCGGGCGGTGTAACCCGGTTCGACTGTCACCTCTGCAGGTCTCGGCAGAACCGGGTTTTACGGACAGATTGATGCTACACATAAGAGGCTAAAGCTAACGGTGCCAGGCTGTGACACGCTCAGAATAAAAATACACTCAGCGTGGCTCTGGGACAATGTTATGAGCAGGGCCCAGGATGATGCATTATCATAATAAACACAAAATATGACATGAATTTAGAGCCTCTGTTACAAACAAACACACTTTAATTGGATTATCAGATTTATCTCCTAGAATTACTAATGTATTTGTGTTTTAATTTAGGAAGTATATTTCACAATCCCCCATTGACTGATTGTGCATGGAGTCACACGGACTAAAATAGCATCTAAATGTACAGTCTGTGTTTGTAAAAATAAATAAATAAATAAAATCATATGAGCCTAGCATATTCACAGGGCATATCTGCTCTGATATGTAACACTGTAATTACTGCATCAGTAATGTGAACTCCTATTTGTGTTTGGGCATCTGACATGAATGACTTCTTTAAATCTCATATGCAATGTCACATTTTAAGACATTTATTCACAGTTAGTGTAATTGCCCTTTACACTATTAAATAACTGCAGTGTGTAAACATGCAGCAGCAGCGCCTGACTGAATACTACAGTCATGTTTGTTATTATTGTCTACAGTGAGTTCAAAGTAGAGTCAATGATGAAGTCAATGAGTGTAGCTCTATGGATAACGACTGAGATTAAAATTAATTATTTGACTCTGAAGATTAAAGTACTTCAGAGTCAAATAAAATGTGATTTGTATAATAAAAGTTTTATTTTTTTCTGTGTCCGAGCAGCCGTAGGAGCAGGGCCTGGGAACCCAGCCGGTCCCACCAAGAAACACCGAAAACGAGGAAAGAAACACAAGAAAAGCAAAGCAGATGAAGCCAGGTAAGAGTCTGCACAGTGCTGTGGTGTCCTGGTGCTTGTGTCTGTTATTTGTTTTTTTCCCAACAGTTTTAAACACTGACTATTAACAAAGCTGCTCTTGTCCTCGAAGTGAATTGTTTCCTGTTTTAGACTGACATCAACAATGACTAACAATCATCTATAAATTGTGACCACTTGACAGAATGTATCTTAAAGAACTGAGTTTTAAACCTCATTAAACTGTATTGTTTGGCATCTTAAATCACATGGTCTGAATGTGTGGGTAGTGTTGATTTACATCGAGATGCAGAAAACATCTCAATCTTTGAGTGATTTGTCCCGTCATGTATATCACAAATGCAAATGACCCATCCTGCTTAGGGGTAAAGGGCTTTTGTATATAAAACATATTGGGTGTAGCTTTGAAATTAATAAAAAAAAAAAAAGTTTGTTTGTTTTATCAAATAATTTTGTTTAGACTTTTAAAATGTGAGTATTTAGTAGTTGTTATTTGGCAATAAAATAGAGCTAATAGAAAAAAAATAAAATGTAAAAGTAAAATGATAAGACTTGGTTGTCCATGTTCGTAGCTCCATGTCAATTTACATATAATTAATGCTACACTGCAGGTCCCCAGTAGATCTTTTACAACACTTGTACATATTCTTCTTTTTCTATGCTATATATTTCTCAATATTATGTTTTTGTGCCTGGTCTCACTGCCCTCCTCTCAGACATAGACTGAATCATTCACTTACAGTAGCACTGGTGGGCTCTATATTAAGACACGTGTAGCAGTGATTTGTGGCCTGTCATCTCAAGTTCTCTTCCACAACATCACGTTTGAGCCATGTTTTGGAGAGAGGAGGCGATGTGGTGAAGCGAGGCGAGCATTGATCTGCTGGACAATCAGAGAAGGAAACATGAACTGAAGGAAGATTATAGATCTATTACTTTACTGGACTGGCTTTGTCAATACTTTTCTAAATAGAAGTTTGTATCAGTTTTCAGTTTAACTAAAGCAGTTTTTTATGCTATATTGTACAGAGCCCCTAAAGCCCCCCCAAAAAACTATTTAGTTCACGCATGATCATAACCTTAACCCCCAATGATTTAAATAAAATCTGCAGTTTAGCAATTATTTTTGATATAATAATCTTATTGTAAAACATAGATTAATACACATCATATATTAAGATCAAAAGCCATTTGTGGATCATGACTTGACAAATATGATATGATATTGTTCAGAAATGAATCCAAGGCAGCTCACTCAAACTTTAGTCCCACAAATCATCACAAGAACTGCAAAGAACCAACACCATGGCCCACATATGTGTACAGATTTGCCTTCACCTTTAAAGATGCGCTATGTAATTTTTCTGGTGGAGGGGCTGCCACCTGCTTGTCTCCTCGGAGCTCTTACTGCTTTGGCTTGAATGTTTCTTTCCTGGGTAGATAGAACCACACCCTTTGCTAAAACTTTACGTAAACATGTGGGTCTGGAACAATATATCTGATTTCAGATAGGCATGATTGACAGGCGGACAGGTAGATAGATTGACAGGTAGATAGAGATGTGCACATCCAACAAAATTTGAGACGGTGTGCTGGGTCCAAAATACAAAAACTGTGCTAAAGAAGAAAGAGATCTTCACTACAATTCTTTGAAGCTCCCAAATTTTTATTTCAGTGACACCACAATACAGGCGATTAACCAATCAGAGAAAAACATGGTCTCTGTCAACAAGCATGGCAGCTTACACATAAAAAGGGGGACAAATAACACAGAGGACTGAGTAACAGGACAGATTTCTGCAGAATCAGTAAGTGAAGCACTAAACTCTTATCTATTTATGTAAAGATGTTTAAAGTTTTGCTCTGAATGGTTGGACCGTCCCAAGTTAGTTTGATGTTTGATGCCGTCTATGGTGCAGTTTCAGACCCTTCTGCATTCTAATGGCATGTAGGAGGGACTGGCTGCTCTGTCAAGAATGTTCCACAGTATGATATTAAACCTCCTGGAAAACATTTCTAGCTCCATGGAGACGAGCATGTAGAACAAAATACTAGACTAAACTTGCGTGAACACGACACTACTCTTGTGCGCCCAATAAAATATTTAACTAGATATTAAAAAAAGGTGGGAATTTAGTATTACCTTCTTGGCAAATACTGTAAAAATTTGACAGGCACAGTACATTATCTATTCTGATGGCACAGTAGCTGCCCTCCTGCCTCATAGCACAAAGACTATTCCCTGTCTGTACAGGGTTTGCATGTTCTGTCTGTGTCTGGGTCCGGCTAGGTGCTCTTGAGATCCTGGCTCAGATCTGGTCCACTTGGCCTGGCATGACTCCAGCACCCATCACAGTATGTTGTGAGGGATTGATTTTCTAAAAATTATCAATGGCACTTGTCCATGTACCTCGTGATGCATGTAATTCTGTACTCTTGCAACATTAAGGTCCACATCAACATGAATCTGTAATGTCACCCAATGGTCAATGGTTTAAAGTCAAATTAGCAGATGTTACCATTTAATTAAACTGCCTTATGAGCTCAGAGGCGAATCAGCAGCTATTTCTCTTCTTATGTATGAGCAGTAACTGGATACATGTGAGGTGGACAGTCTGTGTGTCAGCAGGGAAAGTTAAACATGACTCATTCAGGTTTCATTTTACTCCCCACAGTCTCTGCTAAGCTTATCTTTATTTCTTTTGCAAGAAGCTAAATAATTATTTTCTGAGAAAAAAGCTAATATCTGTTAAAAAGTTTAGCTCATCCTGGTCTAACTCTGAACCAGGACTAAATTTAGCATTAAAGTAGAAGACAGTCTTGGCTCAGCCCAGGTTTAACCTGGGTATGCTCTTGAATAAGATAAAAGGATGTAAAACTAGGGACTAGTTTAAGATGAGCTAATAATAGTAATAAATAAAACCTTTGATGTATAGAGCACTTTTTGGACAAAAATATGTTTGACATGGCATTCAGTCATTCTACACCTGATGCTGCTAAGCTACAGTTGTACACATACCTGACCTGGGGTAAACTGATGAGGGGGGCGTTGCCAAACCCTCTGACAGCCACAATCGATCTCTCGTTCCTCCATCCTCTACAGCATGCACTGACCAGAGCCACTGCTGCCCCACTGTGGCACATCGTATTCCCAGGGGTTTCCCCCCTCCCAGAACTAACCAAGCCCAGCCCTGCTTATCTTCAGAAAGAAGATGGAAATGGCATTTTAAGTATTGCTCCAAAGACTTTTAACTCTGCTCCAACCACCTTTTAAGTGACTCTCAACTAAAAAGACTTAATTATAACCTTACCTTATGACCATAGACTGTATAAAGAAGTGGACTAAGGGTGTCACGTTATATTGGCGACGTCACCCATATGTCCATATATACGCTCTATGGTTATGCCACAACAACCAAACCTGGCACTTCACTGTAACTCTAGGACTTTACCTGAGGTCTTTTACATAAGTGGTCGGCTGTACAAACCAACCTCTTTTTTTTGTTATTTCTGTTCCAGACTAATAAACTTGAATCAGTTTCCAGTCTTTCCAAAACTGACCATAGTTTATGGAGCCAAAATGACAATAATATAAACTTATAAACCCAGTAAACAAGAACCTGGATCTTAGTCCTGATATCTTAATACTTAGTTTTATATTTAAGATTATCTATAGTGAGTAATCACTAGGTTTTGACCCTGTGGTAGAATACAATGATTCAATAAACAAATCATCTTCTTTGGACAGCCTTACTTCACTGCTCTTTGTGATCAGTGTGTCATTACACTGTAAATGCCACAGTTTCCCTTCTCTCTGTGAATATGCTAAACGAAGCTAAGCTATCAGAAGTAGGTCTGGAGTAGAGCCTAGAGAGACCAGGTCCAATAATAGCCCTGGCCTGAATCATGATCCTGCTCCGTCTATTTCAGCTGCAGCAGACCCCAACAATGTGTGTGTCAGATAACAGACACAACACAAGGAGAGTTTGAGAAAAGTCTCACAATAGCCGTTAATATGCAGACTGAGAATGAGCAAGGTGCTAAAGGCTTACGACATGTTACTACCAAAAATATGTAACCCCACTGTACTATAAATGTCATCTCTGATCTAAATCTCACGTCTTAACAATTAAAGGTCCTCTATTATACAAAATAGACTCTTGTGAGCTTAATGTTATAATGTTGAATTCTTTGTCTGTCTACATCTCTAAAGCTCAAAATGCTCTCCACCTTGTGATGTCATGTAGTGGGAAAACTACTAACAGCTACTTTTTATTTTTTAGTTCAGTATAAAAGAATGAGAACTTCGCACATCAATTACTTGACATGGGTGCGTTGGAGGAGAGGGAGCAGCCCAAGAACACAGAGAAAAATCCCGGACACCGTCTTACTTGCAAATTGTGAGATTTATTAAGAAATACTGTGCTTATAGAAATAAATAATAATAGAAAAATATTATAAAATTAAAAGAAATATTTAATTTTTCTATTATTTTTCAATTATTTTTCTACTATGATTAATATTAGGGCTGAGTATTATTAAGAAGTTGCCGATACGATACATACCTCAATACACAAGTCACGATACGATACATATCTCGATACAGTGAGCTTTCGATTCAGTATGATTCGATAAGATATATTTCAAATCAATTCGATACTGTTCAATAAAAAAATAAAGGCTAGATCATGGCTGCAACACTAAAAGACTTTGTTGTAAACCACTTCTTGTGCAAAGTTTATATGAAACACAAACATTTTAATGATCAAAACAGTGAAAATGTCAAATGTGTCACATAAATGAGTTTCCTTCTTCCTCTAAATAAGCAAAAAAAAAAAAAAAAAAACTGTAGCACTGTAATAAAATAATTTAGTAAAATATGCCAAAAAACACTCTCGGCGATATATGTTGATACAGCCGTTGATATTGTATCATCACATTAAATGATACGATATATATATTTTTTGCACACCCCTAATTAATATTTTTTAATATTATTATTATTATTATTATTATTATTATTATTACACTGTATGTTGATTGTCTTTGTTTTTTGAATTATGTTGTTTTGGGTACACTCTTCCTTTACGACCTGTCACCCTTGGGTGTTTGCTACACCGTATTTAAGATGGCCACCTGAGCTCTCATTCTGTTTGCCTGATGAAGGCCTAGTGCATGGTTTGTCCTAATAAATCTCACAATGTGTACGTAAGACAGTGTGTACAGGATTTTTCTCTATGATCTTTTAGTTCAGTAGAGATGGGTAATTCTAGTATGGAGTTTAAAATACAGTGGAGCCACTTTTCAAGGTGAAATAGAGTTTTTGATGAGGAAACCTTTTACAGTGAAGGAATCATGATTGTAAACAAGTAACAGACCAACTACGGCTTAACTTTTTACCATCTGTGTTTCTTCTGTCTCAGGCCTGACGAGATCTGCCAACTCCAAAATATGAACAATGACAACAACCAGCACGAAAACAACATTACGCCACAAATTACTCACGAAAGTACATCTCCAGCCCTCGATATACCTTCTAGCAACGAAGATCAGACAACTTATAACTACGAAATGCAGCAATTGTCTAATCATGATGAAGAACAGCCAACTTTTAAGCATGAGGAAATCTACCAAACAACACAAGAACCAGAAAATAATTATGGAACAGATTCCGCTGAAGAGAATAATAATTATAGGGATACTTCTCCACACTATCCCAAGTTACAGACTGAAAAAACACATGCACAAAATAACATTGAATCTTTATCCCTTCCTCGGCCCATCACTGTAAATAACCCACAATTATGTTCAGACACAGAAACTCGTACATTATCTTCAGACAATGGCATCGAACATCAAGCGATGCCTTTTCCTGATTCCTCTGTACCAGCCAAACATCACAACCAATCATCTCCTTGCAAATCTCCAAGCCCCACCCACAGCCGATCTCCAAGCCCATCCCATGAACTCTGCCCTTCTCCGGATGATGATTCAACGCTAAATCTCTCCTCATCGCCGTACAGGAATGAGGAAAACGAGATCCCTAGCTTGTGTTATGTCAGATCCAATTCGCCAATCGATTTTGAGGCAGAAGCGTTAAAATTTGCGGCAAATTACAGCACTAAAACTGTGCCGACTCCTCCCTTAAGTCCAGAGCATGAGCACTTCCTGCTGAGCTCCGTCACCTTCACCTCCACGGTCTCCTCTCACCTGTACTCTCCACTCTGCGCATCTTCCACATCCTTTTTACGCTCCTTCGATTCTCTTCCTCCTTCCTTGGGACTGCCTCCGATGATGTCGCTCGCCCCACCCACTCCTCTGCTGGCCCCACCTCCTCCTCTTCTGGCCACACCCCCTCCAGCACTGAGCCCACCCCCTCTTGAGTTTACCCCGCCTCCGACACAGCTCCTGGGGTCTGACGATGAGGAGCAGGAGGACCCTTCAGACTACTGTAAAGGTAACAGTCCAACAAATGCTCCATGCAAACCACTTTCAAAGGGTGTAGGGCTAGGGAGTACAGATATAGCAATATACATTTAGGTGATAATGTCGTGTCAAAATTCAGTCTAATGCAGCTCTATCTCATTCCTAAAATACAGACACTTTTAGACACCCACTCCTCATGGTCAGCCTCTGTCACGCTTTGAGTGAGGGATACGTGGAATTGACCAATCACAAAGAAGTGTGAACTTTCAAAAATAATAAAATGCACAGGATTGAGATGGGAACTGTGATCTGGCTCTGAAGAAATAATTTTATAAATAGTTTGGATTCTTGCCCGCCCATACACCTCCTCCTGTTTTGTCTTTCAGGTGGTTATTACCCGGTGAAGATCGGAGACCTGTTTAACGGCAGGTACCACGTTGTGAGGAAACTAGGCTGGGGTCACTTCTCCACTGTCTGGCTCTGCTGGGATCTTCAGTAAGACACATTTTAGCATTACAAGCTGAACATTTGTTTTTCTAGAATAAAGTTCATTTAGAATATGTCTTACTTAATGAATATATTGTTTTTAAATTATGAATCAAGCAGAGAAACATTTCACCAATGTAATCCACCAGGCATTATGAAGCCTAGTGACACATGATGTCCTTATTCTATATCTGGTACAGTACATTTCACACCAGCTGCTTCTCTTTAGGTGTAGGTTTGGTTCTATGGAGCAGTTGTAGATATAGTAATGATTGATATGATTCCTGACTGACTCTCTTTGTTTCTGTAGGAGGAAGCGCTTTGTTGCACTGAAGGTGGTAAAGAGCGCTCCACATTACACTGAGACAGCCATTGATGAGATCAAACTGCTCAGATGTGTATGGTTTACTCACATAACGTTTCATTATGATTCTATAAACATAATTTTAATATTTGTATGTGCTGCGCTTCCAGGTGAGAGACAGTGACCCTTCTGACCCACACAGAGAAACCATTGTTCAGCTCATTGATGACTTCAAGATCTCAGGCGTCAACGGCGTCCGTATCCTTGAGTAACAATGAGCAAACTAATCTATTTGAACTGTAGTTGACCATTTACAGAGTTTTTCCTGAGCAAGTTTTCCTCAGATGTGTGTATGGTGATGGAGGTGTTGGGACATCAGCTTCTCAAATGGATTATTAAGTCCAACTACATGGGCCTGCCCCTGGTCTGTGTCAAGAGCATCATCAAACAGGTGACATAGAGCTATCCGCTTCTTCTCCTTTTGTTCACGTTCATAAAGCACTGACGCTTATTGGGGTGAGAGCTAAAGCCTGGTCACCACTGCACCATTTTTTTGTCTTTTCGTATCAATCACAGCTCATCTTGGTCTCTGTTCCTGTCTTGGTCTTGTTCTCTGTTCCTGTCTCACTGTGTGCTGTGGTCTGGGTTTGTTCCAGACCCTGGTTACAGTTTGTGTGGAAATGCTGAGGCTAATAAAGGCTTGGTGTTACACTGAAGTAACTAAAGGCTCTATGTTGTGGTGTGTGGCAGGTGCTGCAGGGCCTGGACTACCTCCACACTAAATGTAAGATCATCCACACAGACATAAAGCCGGAGAACATCCTGCTGCAGGCGGACGAGGTCTACATCCGCAGACTGGCAGCAGAGGCCACAGTGTGGCAACGAGCTGGAGCCCCGCCCCCCTCAGGCTCATCAGGTCAGACTAGGGCATCACAACTCTTCTGTACTGTATGAGTGAGTTAGTGCTCTATACCATGTGGTCATGGGCAGATAAAGAAATCAAAATGAACATGAACTGGGACATGTATCGGTGGAATGTGTTAGTTAGATTTTGTGTTGTGGTGTTTTGGATAAATGTAAGCATTTCATTTTGGAGAGGGATATTGTCATGTTCAAATCTGGGAGCTGTGTTTTCTCTTTGTCTATGTCCTATTACACTGTCTGCTGTACCTCACTCCTCTTCTCTCTAAATGTACCTGTGCCCTTTCCCTTTTTCACTTCATCTGTCAATACTGGTCTCTTTCTCCTCTCTCCTCTTCTGTACCTTATTTTCTGCCCTGCTGTACATTTTCTGATTTTCTGACATTTTCTCTCCTGTTTCTCTCTTTCTGTGTGTTGCCTGTGTGTCTCTAGTAAGCACGGCTCCCAGGGACCTCCAGGTAAGACTCTCCTCCCACTATCACACACTAACAACATTTTGATTGTTTTTTATTGTCATCTTTTCCACTGGAAAGCTGTAGAGTCTAGTATTTAATCTTTAATTTTAGATCATTTATCTGTTGCTTTCACATTGTAGCCATAGGCTTCAGATCCTTATTATTAACATTCTTTTGTCACCTGGTTATAGAGATTAGATAATTATTTCTTTGTAGTTACTTGTTTTAAATATTTAACTGTAAAATGTGGATGTAATAGTTCATCTTTGATTCTGTATAATGTGATGGTGTATGCTCTGCAGAGTGGCAAACTGTCCAAGAACAAGAGAAAGAAGTTAAAAAGAAAAGCCAAACGACAACAGAAACTGTTAGAGGAAAGGCTTGTAGATATTCAGGTAAACCTTTTAAGAATTGTTATATCTCCATTTCAGATCTAAACTTATTATTATAAAATTCACTAAAATCACAATAGTTTCGATTGTTTAATATAATGTACCAATTGTGTAAAATATTTTTAAAGCAGTTTTTATTCACCTAAATGTTTTTAGGTGTTAGGTGTTTGGTATTACAAAACAGTATTAGAAGCTAAAGCTTTTAGCTACTGTATTAATCAAATCTTTCTTTTGGTCAGAAAATGGAGGAAGAAGATGGATTCTACCCGCCAGATGAAACTGACAACGGTACGTATTTATACATTTCTTTAACGATGATAATTCTTAAGATTAACAATTGTACAGCCAAATTTGAACAATATAATAACAACAAAGCCAAAAAATAAAATAAAACAAAACCAATTCTTTGACAAAACCAAATGAAAGGGACTTTTAAATATATAATTAAATAAATTAACCAGCATTTAATCAGCACAGCACAGAACTACTTCTTTACTTCTACAACATTGCATGGACTAAGCCTGGAGCAACAATTAAGAATTCAGAAACAGTAATATGACTATGACAATGTTCCAGGTTCCCACATGGTGAACGGCAATGCCCCAACTTCATCCAATCACAAGGCGAGTCCTGAGTCATCCTCTTCCTGGTTGGATGACAGGTGCAATGGTCACGCCCCCGGCAGATTCTCTAGCCCCGCCTCCGGACTCTCTGGGTTTTCTAGCTCTGTGATGTCTGCAACATCAGAGTCAGCTGTTTCTACACAGTCGGGTTATTCCAGTGGCAAAGATGGTGAGGGCTTCATTTTTATTGCTAAATATTAATTTATACTTAATACATGAATATACATTCTGAGTATATACATATAAAAACATTATTATTGTTTTAGTAAAAGCTATTTTCCCCCCAGTATTTACTGCATCAGACTTCGTGCTGAGTCCTCTTGATCCACAAAACGCAGACAAAATCAAAGTGAAGATCGCTGACCTGGGAAACGCCTGCTGGGTGGTAAGTGCACTTCCTGTCTCTGTGATCACTTGACTCTGCTCAACCAGTCATGCACCTGTCTGTTTATTCAGCACAAACACTTCACAGAGGACATCCAGACAAGGCAGTACCGAGCCGTGGAGGTTCTGATCGGAGCAGAGTATGGTCCTCCGGCTGATATCTGGAGCACAGCCTGCATGGTAACTGGTTTGATCTTTGGGTTTGATCATTGTTACAATGGTAGAGGAGCTCTAAAGTTAAACTTGTGGAATATAATGCTCTTATACCCAGTACCATAGCTCCCATTAAGTGCATCACGCACAGCGCATAGGGCACAACTCATGTATCCTCTCAAAAGTACTGTCGTGTCATTCGGAGGTGCGAGGTCGTTCGTCGCAGTCTCTGGAATCTCCCCCAGTCCTCACTTTCACCGGGGGTGGAAAAAGCATCTGTGTATAGGGCACCCGGATGGCAAGCTACAGCTCTGCTTATAATTTTGATATTATGGTTTCCATTTTTGGTCAGTCAGATTTGTCCAGTCTGGGCAGTTATGGGTATTAGGGGAGGGTTTATTGAATATACAGGATGGATTTGTGAGAAGCGTATGCAGTGGTATTTAAAAATGAAAGTGTGTGTTTTGTTTCAGGCATTTGAATTGGCAACAGGAGATTATCTGTTTGAGCCACACTCAGGAGAGGACTACACCAGGGATGAAGGTAACTCTTGCTATTTTCAGATTAGATCTCTGATGTTTCTTTAGTTTAATAAATGTGTTTTCCTCAGACCACATTGCACACATCATTGAGCTGCTGGGACCACTGCCTATACCCTTTGCTCTTTCTGGAAGATACTCCAGGGAGTACTTCAACAGGAGAGGTGAGTGTCACTTGTAACTTGGCACTGTATTATGAACCTGTTTACTGTTATTATATTGTGTGTGTGTGTGTGTGTGTATGTGTGCAGGAGAGCTGCGCCACATCTCGTCCCTGAAGCCCTGGGGTCTGTTCGAGGTGTTGCTGGAGAAGTACGAGTGGCCTCTGGACCAGGCGGCTCAGTTCAGTGACTTCCTGTTGACCATGTTAGAGCTGGAGCCAGAGAGGCGAGCTACAGCCAAACTCTGTCTACAGCACGCCTGGCTACAAGACTGACACTCCGCCTCCTAGAGGGGAGGAGGAACTACTACACGCCAGGCTAAGAAAAAAACTGAAAAACTGAAACTTTAAATATATATTTACATAAACTCTACCACGACCGCTCCATAGAGGATGCTGGCTCCAGACAGAAACAAAAATATATTTCTATACAAGCAACTCACTACAGCCCCCAGTGGAGGGGGCGTTGAACTGCAGGTATTTCCCTGTTGCCAGGATCCTTGTTCTGGAGTCAGCCCACAGATGGAGAGTCCTGGGTTAATGCACGAAAAAACTTCGGAATATTTTTTGGTGAATGCGTGGTACTGCTTTGTATGTTGAGATGTAATACAGTTTCAAATTCAACCATTTCATGAACGGAAAATGTAAGTAATTTTTCATGTGGTATGGCGTATGGCCATAGGACTTGAACTAGTGCATTTCTTTGTGAATTTGCACCTGGCTACAAACAGAGTAGGCAAAAGGTGAAGATTTAGGCACTGCAATTGTTACATCACTGATTATGTATAGCACAGCTGTGACGGATCCTGGCACATGGAGCAAAACCTGGATTTAAAGGACTGAATGAACGTCTAGAATCAAAACTAAATATATTTACACACAAACTCTACCACCACCATCGCCCCCTAGAGGAGAAGAAGAGACAGGGACAAGGAGATTTACTTGTGACAGTGTTTCTGCTTCTTGTTTATTTATTTATTCTGTTTGAAGGCACTGATTTGAAACTATGGGCAGAGATATACTTGCCATTAAGACAAAAGTATTAAGGAAAAAGTATTTGATGTTCTCATTTCATTGTTGTGTCCTGTGTGAATGCCTTGGTATGATTGCGGAACTGAATGCCATGTCTAAATCGTGACATAACTTTGAATGCAGAGTAAAATTCTATAGAAGGCTGATATTGTTACGGTTTCATGTTTGGTTTTTTTCATATTGTCAAAACAGCAAGTATATCTTTGAGTCCAAATTTGGCGCTTGCTTACTGAGAAAAAATCAATTTACTATTTACACAATTTAAGTAAAGGATTTGGGGAAAATACATGTTGCTGTATATCTGGATTTAAGATTTAACGTTTAAATTTGACTCTTTTTATGTACATTTTGTGCAATGGTTTTGAGCTCTTCCTTGTTACTCACCGGTTTATTTCTGGCTGTTGTTTCACAAGAGTGCTTCATCTCGATTACAGTGTTAGAGCAGGGGGTCTTGAAAACAATACAGGCCCCAAAGCTGCTGCCTGTGTCTACCTTTTTCTCAAATTCTCTCATATAGGACAGTTAAATCGCCCAGTTTATCTGAACATGTGTGTTTATGGAAGAATTCTGAAATTAATTTACTTTTTTTTTTATTATTATGATGTCTTTATGTGAAATTTGTTTTGTGTGTGTCCTCAATTTATATGTGAAAATGCATCTCATATGGTCACTGTATTTTTTTCTCATACTGTATTTTTTTTTATATATAGACAGAGAAATAAAAGAGAAACTCTAAAAGCAAAGGCATTTATAGACACGTAAAAATGGAATTACAACAAATAATTTAATCAGTTGCTTTAAGAGAAGAGGAGAGCACTTTTGTGAAACCACATTTTGAATATTGTTTCGAGTAGCGGGTACCTTCATTTCTCCACACCTGTATCTCCGCCCTTTGGCCCTTGACCTCCGACCTCTCCCGTTGCCGTGTGGATGAGTGACCAGTGCCTTGATATGCCCTCTGACCCCTGACATCATGGGTTCTTTTGTACGTGTGTGTGTTCAGTGTGAATAATGATACTGTCAATTCAATAAAGATCAGAATGAAAGCACAGCACACATGTTTTCTTGTACCTTTTAGTAGAAGAAAACAAGAACATTTCACTTTCTGTCGTGGGTTGGCTTATAGTGCAAAAACTAACATCTAGCCAAGTTAAAATTATGTGAATTAAAGCTTTATCATGATTTGAATAAATTTCACTTGACAAGTAAAATGATCTCCTAATAGAACAAGACTTTTTGTACTTAAAATATGAAAATACATCTTTGTTATACTTAAGAAAAAGAACAACTCTATTTTTTCTCTTATAAGAAACAATTCAAAATACATTAGATTTTAAGAAAAACACACTTATTCCTCTGATGGATAATTTTACTTGTCAAGTTGGATCTACTCAAATTAAGTAAAATGTTCTTAATTTAAGTAATTTTATCTTATCTACAGATATTGCTTTTTGCAGTGTGAAAATGGGTTGTGTTTTGTTTATCATTTTTCTGAAGTTGAGGAAAGGGAATTTATTGATTTTATTTAATACATAATTTTATTCATTTTAATTTTACTGAAAGCCATGTAGGATATTGGTAAAATACACGTCTTAATGTATCATTTTCCAGTTGTTGACAGAGACAGAAAATGTAAAATGTAGAAATTAAACAAAAAAAATAAAAAATAATAAATAAAAATTTAACTGCAATATTTAAAAACATCTGTCAGGCTATTATAATAAACTTCAGTGCTGTTTTCAAAACTTGAGTAAAGGTTTAACTTTCATTGTCTCCCTGGAAATGTTATTGCTTTTCCTGAAATGTTCCACAATATGGCATTACACACATCTACTTATCTATGTTTCATTTAAAAACAATGCAAAGCAGTTTTGTTTTAAAAGGGTTTATTGTGTTACTTAAACACTTGATCAGACAAGGCCCATGTCACAAGAGCAAACTTTACTTTGTCTGGTCTTTGTTGGTATCAGCAGAGCTCCAGATGGTGTCACCATCGTTGTCCAGGAGCAGAAAGCCCTGGTTGGTGATGGTCAGTCTCATCCTGGAGGAGAAGGGCTCCACTTTAGTGCCAGTCTCCCAAATCACTCTCTTGTCTGAGTCAAACATGACCAGGTTCCCATCAGACTGCAGCACCAGGCGCTGTGCACAGAAGTTTGCTGTTCCTGTGGCCCACACTGGCCCATGGCCACGCCGGTACGTCACCAGGTTACTATCAGCCTGAGGAGGAGGCAAAGGCATGGTCAGAGACTCTGGTACTGTCTGTAGTACAGTCTGTCGTATTGACTGTCATACTGACTGTAGTACTTTCAGTAGTACAATCTGTAGTACAGTATGTAGTACTGACCTGCATTATGGTGTAGTACTCATCGTTGAGACTCTGGATGTACTCTCCAAAGCGCAGTTCCTGGTTGGTGCTGATGGAGTTGCGGCTCATGTTTCTACATAAACACAGGTCAGAGTGATTCTAGTGAAGACTGTCCGTCTTTATCAAACTCATTTCTCTGGTCTCACCTGGAGGCTGCTGCTTCTTGTGGCCCTGGTGCTGCTGTGACGCTGCTTTCACGCTGGTTGGACACTGGAGCAGAAACTGAGGATTGGGGCCCAAAGCTGAGTCTTAAATCTGCGCTCTGAGTGGGGATGAGTCAAAGGCGGGTCTGAAAGATTTCACAGGAAAAGGTTGTCTCCACAAAGCCAGTGTTGTACATTTACTTTACACAAGGGTTTGGTCATGAAGTCAATATTCTGTAGAAACCTGTTGTTTAGCAGGTTTTCTACTGTACATGGGAGCTACAGTGGTTGAGTCAAAGGCGGGGTTGAAAGATTTCACAGGAATGGGTTTGGTCATGACTTCAGTATTCTGTAGAAACCATATACCTATAATTCATTCACATTTATGCAACTATGTCTTTTGATGCTGTTTTCTCCTTTCTTTTCTTGTTCTTTTTTTATTGAAGTGCAAAGATACATGCCTCTGTTTGGCAAAAACTCATTCCTGCTTGTCCAATCACTATTTTTTCAAATCAGGGTTTATCAATGAAATTATATTGGCAAATCAATTTATGGAGACTCCAGCCCCCCTCAAAGAATTGGATGCCAGAGCCCAAGCTGTGCGTAGAGGTGAGTCCGACTATATCTAGCCAGTACCTCTCAATCTCACGCACAAGCTCAGACTCCTTCCCCCCCAGCGAGGTGACGTTCCACATCGCCACAGCCAGATTCTATGTCTGTGGACTGGGTCCACCCGTCTCTAACAGCCACCTAGTCCTCTGTGCACCCGACCCCTATGAATCCATCTGCACATGGTGAGCCCACAGGAGGGTGGACCCATATCATCTTTTCAGGCTGAGTCCAGTTGGGCCCTGTGGGTAAAGGCCTGGCCACCAGGCAAATGCATTCGAGCCCCAACCTCAGATTCTGGCTCCAGAGTGGGACCCTGGCTGTTCCATACCAGACTATGTTACAGTCCTTGATTTTATACAATGTATAAAGGTGCTGTGAACTGCTCTTATTCCGACTCGTCACCTAGGACTTGTTTGCTATGAGAGACCCTACCAGGGCCATGTTGCCCCAGGCAACATAGCTCCTAGGATCATTCAGGTGCACAAACACCCCCACCACGGTAAGGTGGCAGTTCAGGGGGGAACATTGGACCAGCTCTACATTCTCCATCGGGTGCTAGAGAATTCATAGGAGTTTGCCCAACCAGTCCACATGTGATCTGGAGAGGGCATTTGACCGTGTCCCTTGTGGTGTCCTGTGGGGAGTGCTCTGGGAGTATGCTGTCCAGTCCTGTGTGACTAGAGCAGGAGCTGTGTTCGCATTGACCTATCAGACCTGTTCCCGGTGCATGTTAGATTCTGCCAGGGCTGTCCTTTGGTTCACCGGTTCTGTTCATTGTATTTATGGACAGAATTTCTAGGTGCAGTCAGGGGCCGGAGAGGGTCCGGTTTGGGGACCACAGAATCTCATCTCTGCCATTTGCAGATGATGTTGTCCTGATGGCTTCATTGGGTGTGAAGCGGCTGGGATAAAGATCAGCTCCTCCAAAACCGAAGCCATGGTTTTTGACCAGAAAAAAGGTGGGTGGAGAGTCTTGGCCTCAAGTGGAGGAGTTCAAGTATCTCTGGGTATCTCTTGTTCACGAGTGAAGAGAAAAAGGCGTGTGACATTGACAGGCTGGCATCTGCAGTGATGGTAAATGACTGAAAGGACAAGATCGTAGGTACAAGCAGTCGAAATGAAATTCCTCTGCAGGGTGTCTGGGCTCTCTCTTGGAGACAGGGTGAGGAGCCCAGTCACACGAGTAGAATAGAGAGTAGAGTAGAGCTGCTGTTTCTCCACCTCGAGAGGAGCCAGCAGATGTGGCTCGGGCATCTGTTCCAGATGCCTCCTGAACACAAACTGGCACAGAATGTGAGGATTGGAGCCCAAAGTCAAGCCTTCAAAATGGATTCTTGTGAGTTTTTAGTCATGTTATAATGCTGATACTTCCTGAAAAACATACCTGGAGTTGTGTTTTGTTTCATTCACACATGTTTAAGTAATCCTGGATTATTAGGCTGTCTGCATCCCCAAAGGTCAAAATGTGCTGTTCCAGCTTGTGATGTCATGAAGTGGTAGTTTTCAAATTAAAAGCTGCCTTTTACCTTTTGTTCAGGAGAGATTAGCAACTCCAGTGAAGGTGTAAACTTTTGTATTACTACATGACATCACAAGTGTTTTCTGTTTGAGAGAAAAACTCAGTTTAAATATGCAGCATTTAAGTGTTTAAATGTGAATGAAACTCCACCATTTTGATGAAGAAACAACATTATAACATAGATCAGAAAATAGCTTAATATGGACCCTTTAAATCTGAGTTGAGGAGCAGGTCTGGGAGATTTGTCTGGAAAAAAGGTGTTTACACAAAGTGAATATTCTGTAGAAACCAATTCTATAATCATTACAACACGTTAGTCTGATAACGAGAACCAACACCTTTCTGTAGAATCATTATACATCTTTATCTTTGCCTTTATCTATATGAACCAATATTTTGTACGCAACCATATAGCTAGCCACAGGAAACTCCTACACATTGACCAGTTGCAACATTTTAGAGCTCGTTGCACGTACAGGCACACATTATTTCTTCACTTGTATTTAATTGTTTCATATATAATACACTATTATACAGATACATACAAAACAACACAGTTGTCATCTATAAACCGATATAATGTTACTGTGTCTTGCTGTGATCGCCTCTAATCAAAGTCCTTCCAGTTGCTAAGTGCAGAGAGATCCTTCATGCAATTTATACATATAATTAAATATACTTTTGCATTTTCTGGATGTTTCCCCTGGTGGTTTAAACGGGAGCTGATTGTGTCTTTAAAATAATCCATTAAAGATTAATCAAACGTGCATGAATTACTCCAAATACAACTTCGAGAGGGTAAGTGAGAAGGGGAAACAACTATGACATGGTTAAAAGTTCTGAAAAATCTATTTTGCTAATAGGACTGTTTTAATAACAACCTCAAATCTGTCCAATAAATACATGTACCTAAATAAAAAATATGCATTACACATACTTGCTGTAAAAACTTTTCAACCAGGAAAACTAACAACTAGCATGCTATCAGCTCATTTCCTGATTACTGGACAATAAAACACTTTTATTTAATTAAGTTAGACACCGATAGAACACAGTGGTCTTATTTTGATCTCAGGAGCTGCTCAGAAATAAAAATACAGTATGTACATTGGATGTTGGACATATAAACTGATGTAATAATTAGGGCTGGGTATCATTAAGAAGTTGCCGATACGATACATATCTCGATACAGTGAGCTTTCGATTCGATATGACATATTTCAAATCAATTTGATACAGTTCAACAAAAACAAAAGTGTGAAGAATCCCTCAGTCATTCAGGTTCTCCTCGCCACAAAAAATAAAAGGCAAAATCATGGCTGTGACACACTCTTCGTTAAACTTCTTGTGCAAAGTGAATATGAAACACGCCCATTTTAATCATCAAAACAGTGAAAATGTCAAATGTGTCACATAAATGTTTCCTGTAGTTAACTGTAGCTCTCTAACAAAATTATTTAGTAAAATATACCAAAAAATACTCTTGGAGATATATCGATACAGCAGCCCACGATATCGTTATTGTATCATCACATTAAACGATATGATATCAATAATTTGATATTTTGGCACATTCCTAGTAATAAACCGTTTTCTGGTTGTAGTCAGCCCAGAATCTTTCAGAATGTTTAAACTTTTTTGTCTCATTATGTCTTCTGTCTTGTCATTTGAATTAGTGTTTTGTTATTTGTTATTAATGCTTTGGACCTATAATTTTGCATTTAAAAATGTTTCTAATGTTGTTGTTCTGTACTTAATTAAGATATACAGCTACATAACACATTTGGATCAGTTTTGTCTTATTTATTTTTGTTTAAAGGAAATAAATGCTGTTTTCAGTCTCTGCTCTGCCATCTCTTGATATCAGGTATTGGCAGATACTTAAAGCTATAGTATCGGAATCAGTATTGGGACTGAAAAAGCTGGATCTGTGCTTATCTAGTATAAATACATCTCCTACATAATGATTTATTATAACAGAGATATTATAATATATATTATTATTTAAGTGAAAAGCACAGCTGAATAAGTCAATCTAAACAGGAGAACACTTGTATGAATGGTGTTATTGAAGTAACAGCATTACAGTTATTGGGAGTCTATTAGAGACTACAACATTGTTAGAGTTATCGGAATAATAATAATAATAATTCAAGTAGAAGAAATAGTGCTCCAAGAAATTACTCTATTAAGTGTACATTTGGGAAAACTCCTCAAGTTAGACTAACTGTTGGGATGAAACATCTGATATATAACTGTAGAAGAGAGCCAGGTGTTTTGTCTTGTTTTGAATGACGTATGCAGCAATGTGATGGTGGTGGCTGTTGCCAGATTGAATGTTTTTCCGCCAAATAGTAAGGGCT